GAAACATATTTTGTACTTTTGTTATATGACCAAATTAAAGGTCTGATGAACTGTCATTTTAAAAACAGACACTAAAATGCCTTTAAAGGGAAGCAGTACATAAATACAGATTATCATCTTTTTACTTATTCAGCTTAACTGCTTATTTTTCTCTTAATTGTGCAAAGAAAATATTTATCTTTCAATAACCCCCCTTTCACGATATAAACTCCACGTTGTGCATCGATAATAATGGTCTGCGCCTCTTGTGATTGACTGATCCCACCCTCCACCTACCGAAATAGACGCTCTCGCGCGCAGCCCAACAGCTGATCACGCGCCCGCCCGCAGTCCCGCCTGCGCGCACCTGTTCACGATCCCGCTGCCTCCTCTCATCCAGATCAGTCAAACAGGGCCACTGACACCCGAAAATACTTCGACAAGCCTTCCTTCAATACTACTACCACCCTGAAACGCGTTTAAAGCACACACTGAAGTTAAAAACCCAATAAATAACAGTAGGAGGGTTTTCAATGGGAGTGTCGTGTGCGAGAGGACGGGCACTATTGCCTCAAACACGAGGTTGGAGCTGCACTACACGAGCACTGCTCGAAAGCCATGTGATTATAAAGAGCTGTTCGACCCTAGACAGTTTAACGTTATAAATCTGAATTAGAAGAGGTTTTCACTAGAGTATGCGTAGTTAAACGGGTGAATACATGTGACATTTTAATAAACAAACTGATGGTTATCAGTAGTGTTAGGCCTACACTACTTGATCTACAAACGAATAAAGCAGCAACAGGTTATCCTAAGTCTGTGGCTTTTATATCAACACATGAAGCTAAAGAAGATGTATGCTGATAAAGCTGGAAGTTTTCGAGGTGTCAGGCAGTTCATAAACAATAGTGATGTGCGTGACCTCATGGGCTTAGCGGCGCGTTTTGCACACTGAACACTGAGGAAAAGTGTGGCTAAATAACGAGTTTGAAGCATGAGAAATTTACCATCTTTCTTGAGAGGAACGGGGGCTTGTGTTTCTTCCTTTTTATCGGGAAGCGGGTTTCTCCTCTCCTTCTGCGACTCCTTTTTGGGCTGCTTAGCAGCCTGCGCGGCGGTCTTTGCGGCACCAGGGACGGTCGCGTCCTTCTTCTTCTTTTCTGCCTGCTTTAACACCTCGAACGGATCCTCTTCGTCATCAAATAGCTGGTCGAACCGATTGGTTACGACACAGCCGAAACCTTCTTGCAGATGTCCGGGCATGATGGCCCCCTTTCAGCAGGATTCTCCTCCGATTCTACGGGGCTTGAGCGAGCACTTCGCTGCTAGATGCCACAAGATGGCTGGAAAAGACTTGCGCTTCTCTTCCGGCGTGAATTCATCCGGGACTCTGACCGCAAAGCAGTATGGGACTTGTAGTCAAATAACTTAACCCAGAACAAAAACATTGATGATCGCCAAATGAAATATCCGACCTCTGTATTGTAATTGAACTAAAACCCCAGAAAAAAATGTATTTATTTGCAGTTTGATAATTTTAATATATTTTTCAAACAGGCCTTTTGTTATGTAGGACTACGGTGTTGAATCATGCGTTAAACAAGTGAAAACCCACGTGAGAATTTTATTTGAAGACAAAAGACGACTAAAATATAAAAAAAATATGTTGGATTGACTTTTATAATAAATGATCGCCATTTTCACCATTCTTTAAAATATTGTAATTTGTATTCAATATAAAAAACACTCTTAATTGTTTTAGTGTAATTTATTTATTTAATTTATTTAATTTTATTTTTGTGGTTAGAATCCTTTTAACCCAAAAAAGATTTTCCATTCCTTTAAAATATACTTAAACTTGTTTTAGAAAGCTGATTTAGCTGAGTTGACTCTGTTGCAGAACTGTGTCTGTCAACAACACGCTGCTATTCATAAATTTTACACGCATCTTCCAGTAACCCCTGAGAGATGTCATATGACCCCTTCACTAAAAAACAAGTTTTCTAAACAGCCCCCAAATAGCTTTGGGCTGCAGCAGTAACATTAAAGCAATCAGTCAACAGTCATTAACATATGCAGTGTTTGTTTACAAATGACATCACTTTGAGTGATTTTACCCTTGTTCCACAACATCTACCAAAATATGCAGTGCACACACTGACAAACCAACTCTTCCATTTTATAATTGAAGCTGTTATAGTTGTGTCTAATAATCCACACTTTATTATTTTTAAAATAGGTGCAAAATAAGGGTATAAAGTGCATTATTTTAGTCTTGTGAATCATTTAAAAAAAGGTACATATGAAAATGTTAACATGATTTGAAAAACTTTTTTATTTAGACCTGTTTATCTTTTAAATATGATCATTCATACAGCAAATTTACACAATAATCTGAAAAGCCCATTTTAGTTATGGAGAAAATGAGAAATTTAAAAGGAATCAGCAAAAATTAGTGCTGGGTAGATGATGATGAGGATGATGACTGTAATTATATTTTACGAACATTGTTGCTGATTACAAATTGCATGATAAAAGTGGCTTGTATTAGGCAATGAATTCTGACTACTTTTGCATTATGTTATTAATTACTGCATGAGCTAACTTGTTTATCGTGGAGATTTAAAATAAATTCCATTGTTTGTTATAAAGTAGAAAAATAAATTAAAAATAAATATAATTTACAATAGGCCTAATAATGCCAAGTGCTCTGTCTAGCATTATAAGATGACATCAGAAGATTGTTCTCCACAGCATGTATAGACAAATTACCGGTGTGTAAACATTCAGGATGCGCGCGCATCGAGGTTGCAGAAAAAAATCGGAGTGCTAGCATGCAGAGATAGAGTGACATCCAATGCAGTTCTGAGTTTGTTGTTGTTTTAAAGATAAGTTATATTGATTACATATTATATTATTTACATAATGCTTTTAATGTATTATAACAACTTGTCACCCAGTGATAAGCAAAGATATTCTGCTAAATTAACGTTAAAGTGAACCGCTGACAGATCAATTTGCGATAGCACCCTCAATGGAAATAAGATAAGACAAAATGGCCAAGCACCCTGCCCGAAATATACATCTATCCTCATTGAATCTCCAAGTGTTTCTAAAAGAGAGAAGTTAAAGGTAAGTCTTTGGGTGCCAACAATTTTGTTCTGTGTGGTCATGTGCAAGAATTAATGTTCCATGATTACCAGATGCAAAACTTTGTAGTCCTAAAGGTTCTGCCTAGCCAAAGGCAAGAAAAGAAGACGAAACTGTACAAGGCCTGGGTAATCATTAACAAGCAAAACAACTGCATTTTGACAGTGAACTGCACCTGTACGGCAGGGTATGTGAACTTACATTTGATTCCAAGCATTCAGTGTTCCTAGTTTAATTAATCATATTTACAAGTTTTGTGTTATTTTGGCTAGAATAAAAGCAGTTTTTCATTAAAAAAAAAAAACTTAAACCTAACTTAAAAATTTTAAGGTCAAAATTATTAGCCCCTTTAAACTTTATTTTTTCTAGTATACAGAACGAACCATCATTATACAACAACTTGCCTAATTACCCTAACCTGCCTAGTTAACCTAATTAAGTTAAGCCTTTAAATGGCACTTTAAGATGTATAAAAGTGTCTTGAATAATATCTAGTCAAATATTATTTGCTGTCATGATGGCAAAGTTCAAATAAATCAGTTATTAGAAATGACGTATTAAAACTATTACGATTAGAAACGTGTTGAAAAAAATCCCTCTGTAAAACAGAAATTGGAGAAAAAATAAGCAGAGAAACAAAATATCACAATGTAAATTTTTTTCCAATATCATGCAGCCCCAACACACACACACATAAACACTAAGCGAGAGATGCCCAAACTAGGGCTCATGGGCCAAAGTTGGCCCACAGTAACTTTTCATTTGTCCCTCTATAGCATCTGAGAAGAGAGGGAAAATTATGGGGAATTTTGGGGTAATGCCTTTAACAAAGATGGTCATTTCTAATTTAACATAACTTTTGTTTTGTTTTTTACCGTAGAGCTATACCAAAAAAAGCAAACTGGAATTAAAGGTTTTAATTAAATTATGTGAATGAATCAGATCTAAAATAAATAAATAAAAACAGTCAGTTGATAAATAGCAGACATTGACATCAGCAGACATTGACATCAGCAAGTGAATCAAGGAAAAGTGTATTTTTTTTTAGTTATATAAATATGATTGTTCATGTTTTTTTATTGCAAGATGTTGATTATAAAATGTACAAAACTGTATAATTAATATTATATTACAAGTATTTTAAATGTAATAATTCATTTATTCATTTTACTTTTTGGCTTAGTCCCTTTAAATGTAATAATTTATAGCATTAAATAAATTATATAATAAATTAGATAATGAATTACAATAATAAATTAGGAAATGATATTGACAACTTTACAGCTTGGTATATTTACTTCCGGCCCACCACCCTCAATCAAGTTTAGTTTTTGGCCTGTCATTAGGAAAAGTTTGGACACCCTGCACTAGGCCTATATAAACATGGTTGAAGCTTGAAAAGCAGCCAGGGCAAACCATGCTCAACCAGCCCATGTGACGCCCTCCACCAGTATCTCCAAGCCAGGCTCGTAGTCAGGGGGTTCGGGTGGTTCAGAAGACCCACCCCTCACTGACTAAGTTCCAGAATTTGTCCCCTTCATGACCTCATTTGTCCTATACTGCTATGCCATCAAAAACAATAAATCTTTTTTTTTATTCCAGTCATTTACACCCTGAATTAGCCCCCTGTTAATTTTCCCCCCAATTTCTGTTAAACGAAGAGATTTTTTCAACACATTTCTAATCATAATAGTTTTAATAGACCTAACCTATTTCTAAAAACTGATTTATATTATCTTTGCCATGATGACAGTAAATAATATTTTATTTTCAAGACTCTTCTATACAGCTTAAAGTGATATTTAAAGGCATAAATAGGTTAAGGTTAGAGTAATTAGGCAAACTATTGTATAACAACAATTTATCTGTAGACTATTATAATATTAATAAATGCAATATCTTATTTTGTGTTCAACATAACAAAACAGCTCTGCTTTGGAACATGTCAAGAATGGGTAAATATTGAATGGATAAAATATTTTCATTTTTGGGTGAACTTTTAGGTAGCCTCACCTTTGGATGAAATTCAAAAAACATGTATATTTATTAAAACGGTCGTTTTCCGTCGTAAAACGAATCAAAGAAATATAGCCTATTGTTATTTAGTTAAAATGGTTTTCTCTTATAGATTTATATTTATTACTGAATGTTGACAAAGCAGTTTAGTTCTCCACGTATAGCCTGTATCAAATCAAGGCAGTGGTGATACCCAAGCGCGCTGGTTACACCCGGCTGAGGAAGACTGATTTACGGTCATTTATTTGCAGAAACCTTAAGCCTATTTTAACAGAGATGCCGAATGCGGTGACTGAGGCGATGATTGAGTCGTATGCGCTGATGTTTTTGGTGATGTCAGCGTTTTTCGTGTACTTTTGCGGCATGGTCTGGGCTTTCTGCAACCCGAAACTCAGCGGCTCCTCTGAAGACCCAGAGTGCGACACGAGCAGCGTCTCTCAAGTCCCTCTGCAACAAATCTTCGCGGATCCTGAAGATCTGGAGACAAGTTATCCGACACACACTCGACGTTTAATGGATCAGCCGAGGCACAGTTACATCGCCTCGTCATATATTGTGGATTAACACTATGAAAATTGAAGAAAACATCACAAACTCCAGTTATTCATAGGGAACGCAGAGAACTCCGCTTCAAGACACAGGTAAGATTAGAACAAATATCGTCAGGTTAAAATGTATGGCAAAACAGAAAACTAAGTTGGTTATTATAGCATAAACGTTTTTGTTGTTGTTAACAGGTAAATATATCAAGCTTCGCCATCATCACTGCAAACCATCAATACCTGCAATCCTCCAACTCAGAATTCATTTACGGAACATTAAAATACTAACACAGTTCTTCGTTTCGGATCTGTAAGAGCTTTAATGCAGTTTAATAAATGTGTTACAACTGCACTTTGTTGTAATTTGAATATGAACACCCATAAACAATGTAGCTTATATGTGCCTATTGTGTTAAGAAAGTTTTACTTATCAGCTGAATGAGGATAAACTTTTTTTTTTGTAGAGAAGACAAGGTCAAGGTTGAGCTAAAAATGACAAATCAAACACGTATACAGCAATACAAACATAATACACCAAGCAACTTATTAATCAGGAAATGCACACATATTGCATTCAATGTCCCATCACAACCTGTGCTAATTATTATATATTATAAATCAAAGCATTTTAGAAGAGGTCCCTTTCAGTGGTCCCATAATAATGGACAAAGATATATAAAGATAAAATACATGACAGACCTGTTGTCCCATTTCTAGCACAGTCAGACACTCTGACTTTTCACAGTAATTATGATGATTACAAAAATAGCCCCAAGCATCTTAAATTGGCCAGAGGGTTAAGTAAATTAACTGAAATGTTTTTTTTTTTTGGGATCTTTATCTATTTTTAAGACATTCAAACCAACCAAACCTAATATTTCGAAAAATCTCCATGAGCAGTTTATAAATGACCTAGATCATTTTTAAAGATGGAAGTGTGGTTTGTAAAGTTTTCTCCATTTTTCACATTCCATTTCTTTCTTTGAAATCAGGATTCTCTGCTCTTAGCTTCTTCCGCACTGTATCTTCCAGCTCTAACAGCTTCACATAGAAGGCCTCTGACATGTTTTCATCAAGATCCATCTGAAAAAAAAAACAGTTAACATTAGAGTATTTAAAGAGTATGAACAAGCAGATAAACATTCAGTCAATTTTTCAATTTATATGTGTTAAATAAAAAACAAACAAATTAAATTTAGTAATGTTCAACTTAATTTGTTTGTTTAAATTCAGCTCAATTTACAACCACTTAACTTAAAAAAAATCATCTTTGAATATTTTTTCAGTGTTATATACTCAGATTAAGTAAAGAACTAAAATTCTGACAACAAAATGAAGAAAAAAACTAAACTAAAAAACAAAAGAACCTGATTGTCAGTTCTGACCTTGCTTGGTCGGGTGTAATTGTTTCCGAGCCCAGAGGTCAAACTATGGTATTTGGCCATCGGGTCCAGAGACTCAGGTTTCTGCTTGAACAGCCAATACTGTGTAATAAAAAACAATAGATGAAAGTCGAGACTGGGAGAAAGCTGAGGCCCAAACAATTGTCAATGAAACAAGTTCTTTAACTTAAGTGCAACAATAAGCTTTACACTAAGAGTCAAAGCGGCACCTTGATTTATTTGCACTATGTACTATGAAACAGAACTTCCAGTCATACAATTTAGCAGTATTGTGTGATTAGTAGAACTCTAATTCAATAAAAAAAATCCATACAGGTTTTATTGTTTTTTATTTATGCCATGATATAGTTAGACACAGTGTGTAAAATGTTTTCATTCAAGAGTTCACACTTAGCTGATGATTGATAATAAAGTGTGTTTGGCATGCTATGCTGGGAGAGAGCCCTGAGATCAGAAGATCTTTGAGAGAGGGGAGTCTGAGCACTTAGGTTTCGAGAACTCCTCCAAATTAGTTCGCTTGGCCTTTTCCTATTTTCAGCATATGGCTACGTGGTGATAGCCCAGTACTAAAACTCTTACATACTGTGCCAATTTGGTTTATTCAGTTCACTTATACCGAATGTCTTTGGACTGTGAGAGGAAACCAGAGTACCGGGGGGAAACCCACGCGAGCAAAAGAAGAACAGGTACACTCCACACAATTCCAACTGGCCCAGCCAGAACTCAAAACAGTGACTGTCTTGCTGTGAGGCGACAGTGCTATTCACTGAGCCACCGTGTCACCCTGTCCTGGATTAATCTAGGAAAGTGGAGGAGGAGTAGGGGTGGATGGAGGGGGTTCTTCATAGAGAAGATGACTAGGGTAAGAAAATCTTGGTGCGTTTGGATTTGTCTGATTGGTAAATCATATGATAGCTAATGCGAGACCAGCTATGGTCAATCATAAGCACATGATTCTCTCGAAATTAGTTTATAAATAAACTTCACTTAAAATATCCAAAACCACGTGAACAGTGTTATTTATTTTATAGTTATATTATCCCAAATGTTTTGAAGAATGTTTAAATTTAAATATAACTCAATTCGCAAAAAAAAAGTTCACGAAGTGGTTTGGGATGTGGGAGATGGAAATTATTTTGCCATTTTCTGTAATTTATAATATAGCAAACATTACGCTAATACTTGCCTTGTTTACTGTCCTTTACTAGGTTACCAATACTACAATTAACCACTCCAACAGTTTGATGAAAACTCTTCTAATTCACATTTGGGAATTTTTTTACTAATTTTGTGACCTTTGAAAAGATTTGCTGCACATTAAGAAAAACCAGTCTTTCACTGGCACTGACTTCAATTGGAATAGTTTTTTTTCTGAATCAATATTGCTTTTTTAAATTAAAGAATTATAAAAATAAAAACATATACACTCTCTGGCCACTTTATTAGGTACACCTTACTAGTACCATGTTGGGCCTATTTTGCTTAATCCTTCATGGCAAAGATTCAACAAGGTACTGGAAACATTCCTCAGAGATTTTGGTCCATATTGACATGATAGCATCACGCAATGGCTGCAGATTTGTCAGCTGCACATCAATGATGAGAATCTCCCGTTCCACCACATCCCAAAGGTGCTCTACTGGATTGAGATCTGGTTACTGTGGAGGCCATTTAAGTACAGTGAACTCATTGACATGTTCAAGAAACCAGTCTAAGATGATTTGCGCTTTATGACATGGCGCGTTATCTTGCTGGAAGTAACCATCAAAAGATGGGTACACTGTGGTCATGAGGGGATGGACATGGTCACCAACATTACTCAGGTAGGCTGTGGCGTTGACACAATGCTCAATTGGTACTAATGGGCCCAAAGTGTGCCAAGAAAATATCCCCCATACAATTACCCCACCACCACCAGCCTGAACCGTCAATAAAGCCAGGATGGATTCATGCTTTCATGTTGTCGATGCCAAATTCAGAACCTACCATCCGAATGTCCCAGGAGAAATCGAGACTCATCAGACTAGGCAACATTTTTGTTGCCCTTTTATTAGCTTAAACCAGTCTGGCTATTCTTTTCTGGCCATCTGGCATCAACTAGGCATTTGCACCCACTGAACTGCCACTCACTGGACATTTTCTGTTTTTCAGACTATGCTCTGTAAACACTAGATAAAGTTGTGCACGATAATCCCAGTAGAACAGCAGTTTCTGAAATACTTAGACACGCCCATCTGGCACTAACAACCATGCCACGTTCAAAGTCACTTAAATCCCCTTTTTTTCCCCATTCTGATGCTCAGTGTGAACTGCAGCAGATCGTCTTGACCATGTCTAAATGCGTTGAGTTGCTGCCATGTGATTGGCTGATAAGAAATTTGTGCTAACGAGTAGTAGTTGAACAGGTATACCTAATAAAGTGGCCGGTGAGTGTATATTGTATTTTATGCATATTGGTATGCAGGGAGTCACTTGCTTTGTTTCTAAATGAATCAGCCTTTTTGAATTAATCATCTGAATAAACGACTTTCTGCCACCAACTAATGGTTTCATGCTTGTTATTGAAAATAAATTCCAGAAAATACTGATAAAATTAATTTGGTCAATGCTGAACATCCCTACTCAGTAGCTTTATAAAATTATGCAATATATTGTGCGTTTTTTAGGATTAAACTTCGAAGAGACATATGTCAAACATTTGGGGGGGTGCAGGTACATACCAAAGCCTCCGCTCCATTGTATGGTGAGAGGGTAAAAGAATTGGTGAATATCCTTATCTAATGAGACAGAACATTAAAAACATGTGGTGTGTTAACATTCACACAATTTTACATTTGTTTCATATTATATCATAAAAAGCAAAGTAAATATGGGACCTACAAGAAACAATATTGGCATGATGATAGTCCAGAACAATGAAGGCAGAATGCCATAGGTGAGGTTAGTCATGACCAGACCAGGGCAGATCACTGATGAGAACATACCCTGCAGACAGATCACCAGAATTCATCACTAAAGGCCAGATCACATCAAGAATGATAACTATATTAGTGTCCACACCAGCAGATGATACTGTTTAGGGCTGCACGCTATTAAAAATATATGAAATTGCGATATTTTATTTTTCTGAGCTAAATATAGCGATATAATCCTGTCAGCCCTCACTTACAAAGCAAAGAGGTCAGATTCATTGACGTGTATTTTACAAGCTTAACGTATTATTGCTCTTAATTGGGAAAATATAAATGAACCCAGAATAGGAAAGTGGATTAAAGAAATGGCATCACATATGTCAATGGAAAAGATCACATACAATGTCAAAAAGAAACAAAATGTGTTTGAAGATATCTGGAGACCTTTTAATAACTTTCTGAAGTACAATGTAAATGTTGACAGTCTGCTACAACAAGAACAAGCTTAGAGGGAGTAGGGGAGTATCATGGTCTAAACAGACTCAGAAAACACTCTTTACCTAATTTAAACATATCCTTTTTTTCTTGTTTATTTATTTATTTTATTTTGTATAAAAAGTTTGCTGTGTCTTCATGATTATTATTCTGTAACTGTGTAATCTGTTGTGATATGTAAATTGAAAAAAGTAATAAATGGATTGTACAACAATAACTCCTTTAGTATATTGAAACAAGTGACGTGTGAGTAAATAGTGAGAACATTTTAGTCTTTGAGTAAGCTGTCCCTTTAAAGCATGTAAACATTTCAATATTTCAGCGTTTAAAACATCCGGCCACAAGAAAATTTTGTAACTTTAATAACGATTATATATATATATATATATATATATATATATATATATATATATATATATATATATATATATATATATATAATAAAAAAAAAAAAAATATATATATATATATATATATATATATATTACGAAATGACTAGTTTCACAAGATAGTTAAATAGCACTATTTGATGGTTTTCTGTGGAGTCACAATACAAAAAAATGCTTTTCTTTGTCTAATTTCTAGTCCAAATATCTAAAAAATTAGATCAAGGACTAGAAACAAAGACAAAAATTCTAAGTAATAATTTTGTTGTTGTTGTTGCTTTAATCAAATTAATTCCAGCGATTAAATACAATTCTGTAGCTCCTATTCAACTATAATCCAGATTTATTCATTCATTCATTTTCTTGTCGGCTTAGTCCCTTTATTAATCTGGGGTCGCCTCAGCGGAATGAACTGCCAACTTATCCAGCATGTTTTTTATGCAGCGTATGCCCTTCCAGCCACAACCCATCTCTGGGAAACATCCACACACTCATTTATACACACACTCACACACTACGGACAATTTAGCCTACCCAATTCAACTGTACCACATGTCTTTAGACTGTGGGGGAAACCGGAGCACCTGGAGGAAACCTAGGTGAAGGCAGGGAGAAAATGCAAAAAGAAATGCCAACTGATGCCGAGCCGAGGTTCGAACCAGCGACCTTCTTGCTGTGCGGTGACAGCACTACCCACTGCACCACTGCGTCGCCTTCTCTGACACATTAAATACCTATACAGAACCTGAGGCCATCATTTCAATATTTGGATCACACCAAAGTCCTTACGTTTTAATAAAAGTAAGATAAATGTGATTGTCTTTGCCACGCTTGAAGCAAAAAAAAAAAAAATCCTCCAACCTTTAATCAATGGCTTACAGAACTTCTACACAACCTGACCTTAGAAAAAATATAGGATACACTATAAGACAGTGGTCACCAAACTTGTACCTGGAGGGCCGGTGTCCTGCAGATTTTAGCTCCAACCCTAATCGAACACACCTGAACAAGCTAATTAAGGTCTTACTAGGTATACTTGAAACATCCAGGCAGGTGTGTTGAGTCAAGTTGAAGCTAAACCCTGCAGGGACACAGGCCCTCCAGGACCTAGATTGTTGACCCCTGCTATAAGAGGTTGCACTGATATGTTTTTTCCCATTTGGCAACCTGTTTTAGATCACATAAAGTAGATGGCCCCTTCAGTTATTTTAGAAGAGTAGAACCTTTCCTTCTTATTTTTATTAATATCTTTTTCATTTTCTTTTCTTTCCTTTTTATAGATATGAGTAAAATATGCTTTAATTAATATTATTATTTATTAGTATATTATTTTAATATTATTCATTTATTTTTATAGAACCTAAATGTATATGTGTGTGACAGGTTTTGTTTGTTGTGTTTAAAAAAAAATTTGAAAAGCTATTTGTACACTTTTCATATCTAACATGTTCAATAAAAACACTTTTGAGGAAAAAAAAAACATTGCATATCGATGTGACTACTGTGGATACACACATTGCGATATCGATGCTGAAACGATTTTGTTTATTCTATTCACCACTACAGTTGTCATATGCTGGATTTAATGCTTGAGGTCTGTAATACTTTAGATGCCACCATAACCTCATTGTTGACCTTTTTTCTATAGATCAGGGGTGTCCAAACTCGGTCCTGGAGGGCTGGTGTCCTGCATAGTTTAGCTCCAACTTCCTTCAACACACTTGCCTGAAAGTTTTAGTATATCTAGATAGAGCTCGACTGGCTGGTTCAGGTGTGTTTAATTGGGGTTGGAACTAAAATATGCAGGACACTGGCTCTCCAGAACCGAGTTTGGGCACCCCTGCTATAGATCAAAGAGGGTAGAATTGGCATAGAAAGAGAGGACATGTCCTCACCAATATCCACCAATTACTGAAATGTCCCTACTAATACAAATTTAATCGACTTCAAGTAATGCTCCGTTAAAACCTACACATGCACTAAGTCAAGTTCACTAATAGTTCACCGTAATACTATTAACTAAGGCAGTGCAATAAATTAAAATTCTGATTTGATTTTGGCCTCCATGATTATGAAAAACAATAATCAGGATGAAACCATTCAATTGTGTCACACACCTCTTTAAATTTCTCTACACGCATACCTCCTCAAAGCCCAACTACAGAAAAATCCTGTAAATTGACTTTATCAGTATGGGACAGGATTGTTATATGTATTATTAAGTGTTTTTTAATGATTAAGTACTTTAATCATGTTTTTAAAAGTGCGAAACAGAATTTTGTACTGTTCAAGGCATGCGCCCTAGGGATGTATGTCTCCACCAATGTCAAGAGCGAATCTACACACAGTTGCAACCCATATTAAACACACTCGCCTGTATTTATCAACTGCTGTTTAGGTCCTAATTAATTGATTCAGGTGTGTTTGATCAGGGTTGGAGCTGAACTCTTTAGGAAGGTCGATCTCCAGGAGCAGGGTTGAGCACCCCTGCTATAGATCATCAAGGTAAAATTTCAACATTCGCTTAGTGATGACATGAACACCATTTAACCAAAGAAATTGGTCAAAAAAGATTTTTCTTAGAGTGCAGGTTAAAGTAAGCTGGATTATTTTTGTCATTATTGTTATCAAAGTGATTTCAACTATATACAGTTGAAGTCAGAATTATTAGCCCCCTCTTTTTAAAAATATTTTCCAAACAATGTTTAACAGGGCAAGGACATTTTCACAGTATGTCTGATAATATTTTTTCATCTGGAGAAAGTTTTATTTGTTTTATTTCAGCTAGAATAAAAACAGTTTTTAATAAAAAAAATAATAAAATTAAGGACAAAATTATTAGACCCTTTAAGCTATATATAAATATAAATTTTTCGATAGTCTACAGAACAAACCATCATTATACAATAACTTGCCTAATTACCCTAACCTGCCTAGTTAACCTAATTAACCTAGTTAAGTCTTTAAATGTCACTTTAAGCTGTATAGAAGTGCCTTTAAAAATATTTAGTCAAATATTATTTACTGTCATCATGGCAAAGATAAAATAAATCACTTATTAGAAATGAGTTATTAAAACTATTATGTTTAGAAATGTGTTTTTTCTCTCCGTTAAACAGAAATTGGGGAAAAAATTGACAGGTGGGCTAATAACTGAGGGGGGCTAATAATTCTGACTTCAACTGTTTATTTTTATTTTTACGACTAGTTATTGAGAAATGGTCTTGATTTTACAGAACTGTAAAAAATGCTGGGTTCCACACAATTCCTACATGTTGTCCCAATACAAATCGATTATGTTAACTTGTTTTGAACATAAAACAATTAAGTTATCCCCAAATAGATCTCTAAACAAATTATTCTTTTAAATGAGTAGTCTGAACAAGCAGTGTACATTTTTGGAGTGTACCTGGCTGTTGTAGTGGCGGTTCAAGGCTAAGCTAAGCAGGTCTGAAGCATATTTCGACGAGCTGTAGGGCAAAGGGCCGTTCTTATGCTGCACATCTTCGAGATTAAAGGAGGATCGCTGGGCATTACTGGAGGACGTCCAGATGACTAAAGAATTGTGCTCTGTCTGGCACAATAAAGGCTCCAGTTCTTTCACCTGTCAAAATATAAAAAATGTATGAGTTATTATTTTATTTTTACATCATAAAAAGTGTTAAACAAAATGACAAAAACACTGTATGCTCTGTTGACAATAATTTGTTAATGTTTTGTTTAAACATGCTAATTTCTGTTGAAAATATCCCAGCAGCATAGTAATTCTTGCCAACAGCATGCTAATTCACATGCTAGCAAAAACTTTGATCATGATAAAAACAAGCTAACAACATGCTAATTTATGCTAGAAATAAGTTCTTATTTGTGTTAGAAATAAGCTAGCAAAATTCCAACGTGCAATTATGTAACATGCTTATTTGCATTATCAGCATGCTAATTCATGTTACAAACAGGCGAGCAACAAGCTAATTTATGATAAAAGCTTGTTAGTAATATCCAAATGTATGGTAAAACATGCTAATGCAATGGTAAAATGCTATCACAATGATAGTATGATGTTAATTTTTGCTAGCGACATGCTAATTCATTAGACTTGGTCAACCCAACAATAACGTTTGTTTACAAACTTAACTCATCTATAGTTACATGTATTCTGAATAATATTAATATTTATAATAACAAAACAAAATCATTTAGTGTCCATGTGAGGAAGAAGCAGAGGGCAATTTGACTAGAAACACAAGTCTCACTTGCTCCCCCTCAGACACCCGGTGCTGTCGCAGCAGTAAATCGATACGTCTCGCCTAGCCTTCGAGGACATGGAGTGTCATACCTACTGAAACTTTAATGCCTATGCCACTTGAGCCACAATAACTCCACTACATAGGGTAACACATAGAGAGAACAGCACTGCCTTAACTACCTATACTGAAGGCCAGATGCCTCATAATGCAAATGAATGAGCTCTTCAATTAACAAATAGAAACACTTCATGAGGGCTGCAATTTGAGGACACAACACATCTTTAGCACTAGAGTCCTTCAGATGAATTATTGATCAGGGCAGCTGCCAGAGAACAGGTTACTAACAACAGCAGAAGGAATCCTGTGGCATTTAGAAATGAAATAATTCCCTGGGAGAGACCATTGTGAGGCAGATGAATTGTTTGATAGTGCTGCATGGAAAGTACTATAAATATGTGATGTTCCAGCGCAGCCAAATTATGATGCAGTGGAAGTCACACTGGTTTTGGTATTATATTTTTGTTTATCTTTATGCTTGGTCATCGAAACACGTTCATTGTGCCAAAACCATCCACTTACCAGAAGGAAATGACCAAAAAGATTAGTAGCAAACACCTCCTGCAAACCAATGGGTGTGACCTTATCTTCCTGGGTCAGAATACCCTCCCCCGTGGTCAACATTTTAATCGCATTTCTGGTGATCAAAAGCACATATAATAGAGAATTATCAACAAAGACAAATACACTTGAAGGTAAAAATTATTAGCTCTCTAAAATTTATTTTATTTTTTATAAATATTTCCTCAAGAGATTTTTACTTAGCAAGGGAATTTTCAAAGTCTTATTTCTTTTAGTTGGGCTGGAATAAAATAAGTTTTTAATATTTCAATATTTTTAAAAAGTCAATATTAGCCCCATTATTTGTTTATTTATTTTTTTAATTGGCTGCAGAACAAACCACACAATTTTCAAAATCATACTTCTTTTAGTTTGACTGGAATAAATGTAGTTTTTAATTTTTAAAATGTTTTATAAAAGTCAATATTAACCCTGTTATTTTTTTTTTCACTTAGCTGCAGATCAAACAACACAATTTTTAAAATCTTATTTTTTTTTAGTTTCACTGGAATAAAAGTAGATTTTATTATTATTTTTTTTTATGTTTTCTAAAAGTCAGTATTAGCCCTGTTATTAGTTAATTAATTAATTAAATTATTTATTTAAATTGGCTGCAGAACAAACCACACTTACCTAATTAACACAATAACCTAGCTAACCCTTTAAATCAAACTTCAAACTGAATATAGTCTTTTGCAAAATAGGTAGAAAAATACTATGCACTGTCATCATGGCAAAGAAAAACATTATTAAAAATTGGTTATTAAAACTATTGTTTAAAAATTTGTTGAAACTATATATATTTTTATCTTTTATAAGCCTAACTGAACTATTCAGAAAAGAAGAATGGTGTATATTTAAAAAAAGTACCATTATAATTGTATTTACTGTCAATTTATATCCAATTTAATTCATTCTTTCCAAAAGAAACAAATATGTTGAACATATAAACTATTTAATGGTAGTTTATATAGTGTGAATACTTTACCTAGAAAACAGGCCCCGATAAAAGGCTACGTGATCCACCGTGGGATTAGGCATGATTCCAGCATTGAGATACAGATAGTCCAATCTGTTAAACCTGTTAATGAGAAAAACGAATAATCAAAGAAGTAATTCAAATGTGCTTTAGTCGTAATATATAGTCATATAGTCCCATCAACCCTGTTTAATTGTTTACATATAGTTTACAAGAGAAAATAATGACTACATCTACAGTTGAAGTCAAAATAATTAGCCCTCCTGTGATTTCTTTTTTCTTTTTGGAGAAGGTGCTCGCTGCAGAGCCACATGGGTGGAGCTCACGTCCGATGAGGGGGGGGGGCTTGAGCTCCAGCTCCTACTCCTATGAGCTTTTTTAATGTGTACACATACTCTTTTTTTATTTTTGTTAAATATAAGAAAAACAACATCACTGCATTGAAGAGAAAATACAATAACAAACAATTAGGAAAGGACAGAGAAAAAAACTTTACAAAGCCTCAATCATTAACAAAAAAAGTGTTATAAGCTTTAGGAAACATTATTCTTATTATTATTAATAAGCTTCAGAGATTCAATATTGAATGAAATTTCTGTGTACACCTACCTCAACCAAACACCAACCCCAGTGACATCACTTGTAGGAGAAGTATTTTTCACAGTATTTTCTTTAATATTTTTTTCTTCTGGAGAAAGTCTTATTTGTTTAATTATGGCTGGAATAAAAGCAGTTTTATTTATTTATTTTTTTTAATTTAAGATCAATATTATTAGCCCCCTTAAGCAATATAGATTTTTGATAGTCTACAGAAAGAAAAAAACATCGCTTTACAATGAACTGCCCTAACCTAGCCTATTAACCTAGTTAAACCTATAAATGTTACTTTAAGCTGAATACTAGTAGGCTAACTTGAAAAATATCAAGTAAAATATTATGTACTTTCATCATGGCATTATAAATGTGTTGAAAAAATATTCTTTCCATTGACAGAAATTGAGGGAAAAAAGATACAGAGAGGCTAATTCAGCAAGGCTGATCATTCTGACTTCAACTGTATAATGGTTATTTTTATTTTAATAAATATTATACATTGATTATAATTTATGTGCTTCATTTGAAACATGAAATTTATAGATTTTTGATTTAATATATAAAATTATATATACCAGACTAGATATGGAAGTATAATACTATAGTTAAAAAACATGGTTACATTCTACAAATAAAAGCAATATTTTATAAGTTATAACACCACTAGTCCAACTGGTTTGCCTGTGAATCACTCCACCTGAAGCACTGTTCACATTCCAATAATGAACAGTTGCTTCTCAGATTCATCATATACGGGTGCACATAACAAGTACACAGTGAACAAATGTAAACTAGATTTGGTGATAGAGTAGGGTTTTTGTGTACTTGTACTTGTACTATGTGTATTTATTTTATTAGGTTGTGATTAAAAGGTCCCAAGGCAAAAACAGAGGCACTTCCTACTGCCAAGCTTGTGGTTTGGTGGAAGAATGTAAACTTGCAGTCGCACCCACGAATCGTATCTGAGTCCACCTGAAAACAGTGGTTTGGTCTGCAGATTCACACGAACTCCGGATTGGTTCATATGCACCAAATCATGAAAGTGAGCCACTATCAATCATGTATGAGTTTGTCAAGCAGTCTATTCATGTGTTTATTCACTTGTTTTCTGACATGCATAACTGATGCACAGCAAGCAAAGACTAATTTATCTAATATCAGAAAATGATTCTCTTCTCATTTATTTTAAATAATTCATTATTTACTTTAAATTCATGGTAAACAGATGCGTGTGTCAAACAGTCGAGTCCAATGTTCAAACTCGGCAGCATGGGGAGGTTAATTTAACTCAGGTGCGAGCCAGTCAATTAGCCAAAACATGCAATTTAAAATACTTGACCCCTGGACCAAAAAAAACAATTCATAAGTGTCAAGTTTTTAAAATTGAGATTTCACAAAAGATAACGTCCCCTGAAAGCTGAAAAAAGAAGTTTTGCATTTATGTATTTTGTTAGGATAGAACATTTGGCTAAGATACAACTATTTGAAAAAAAAAAACTTTTATAATGTTTAAAGTAGTTTAAATGCAATAAAAAACAATTGATTTTTAATGTATTTATCATAGGACAACTTTTTAACTTGGCTCTTTACTTAATATACAAATTTTTTTTTTGCCATTTAAAAAATTAACCCACACCTATGCAACTTAATCCTTAAGGTTTCGTGGTTTATGTTTAGATTTCTAATATATATAACTATGTCATATATGTATACACAGTCAGAATTATTTGGCCCCATTTATTTTTATGGCTGTGCCATAAACAGTGCGCACCAAGCAACATCTCTAGGTAATCCTTTTAGAACTGGACCAAAAAAGATATATCAAAAGCATAGTTCATCCAAAACTGAAAAAAATTCTGTCATCATTTACTCACCCTTTACTTGTTACAAACCAAATATTAAGGGCTGGCAGAATAATCGAAAGGTAATCTAAATCGACATTCAGAACCTACAATTGATCGAATTTTCTGGTCTATTTTTTTGATCACCCCGGTCTGGCTGGTTGATACTTCTGCATCGAAGGCATGTGTATGGTCTGGCGCAGCCCCATCTCATACCCTACTATACTAGGTACCCTATACCTTCTACTTTAAATATGAAAAACATTGAAAATAATTCATATTGTTTCCAAAAGTGCAAGTTTGTTTTAGGCAATGTGTGTTTTAATTTCAGTTGTTCAACGTTGATGTTCAATAAAGAATCATAGGTAGTAGATAGTGTGTGTTTCCTTCAACTATTTTAAAATCAAGTAATGCAGCCATGCAGAAGTCTCTCACTTGTAATATGTGAGCATATTACTTCATAAAACCTGTCAGAGAACTATGAGGGCAAAAATAAATAAATCAAATAATCGTTCAATAAAAGTAATCGAGTTTAAATGTTCAATTAATTAAGATTTAGATTTTAGGTCAAATCGCCTAGCTCTGCTAATATTATACCTTCCATAGCATTTATTTTTCCTACTATGAAAGTCACTGGTTACAACTTTCTTGAAAATATCATCTTTCATGTTTAAAAAAAAAAAAGAAATTCCTAAAAGTTTGGAACCACTTGAGGGTGAATAAATATATTTTATGGTGAACTATCACTTTTAGTTATGACTTTTTATCAAACAACAATTCTTTAGAGTCTGAATGCAGAAACACTAAGCAGATTTGAATGCGGTATGATGGTTACACTACAGCACACAAATAAACATTACACTCCATCAAAATGAAAAAGAATGGTATGACGAATGGAAAAGAGGGACCAGGGTGTCTTACTTCTTCTTGAACTCCTCTGCACCCTTGACCACAGAGTGCATGTTGCCCACATCTAAGTGCAACAGAGAAACCCGAGCCTGTGGATGAGATACGAGTAGAGCCTTTCGGGCAGCTTCAGCTCTTTGCATGTTCCTGCAGGCCAGACAGAGCTCGATCTGGGCATCCTCATTCAGGAGACGCTCACACAGTGCAAGACCAATGCCACTGAACACAGACAACCAAACAGGGTTATTAGGCATACAGAAAAACAGACATATTCTGCAACATATAACAAATAAATGCAGAATAATACAACTACAACAACTGTATCCTAACCCTACTTATTTTTCTTCAGGTTGTTTAAATAAAAGCAAAACTTTAAATAATTATGTAAACTTAAAATGACTATAAAAACATAAGAATGCAGTTTAAAGCAATTAACTATAACTATACAACAGTGATGTGAAACTAAAGAGAAAAAACAAGAAACCTGCTGCTGAATAATATGAAGGAAACGAACTATTCCTATTTTTTAATATTCGTTTTGGTTATTTAATAATTTAATAAACATAGCTTTACAGTAACAGCACTATAACAGCAATAGGAACAGTGAAGGTGAAGTAAGTTAATCTATAGCTAAATTTCAGCCAAAATGTGAAGCTATAAAGAGAACATGTTTATATATATATATATATACACACACAGTTTTGTTACCTGTTTGCACCGGTTACCAAAACTACTTTCTTCATTCTGTCTTTATGTTCATTCAGTAGCGAGCTGTGATGACACACACTGTACTTACAGTGCACAACCGCTTCTAACGTTTGCCTGTGTACAGACGAAGGATTTTGCACCGCCGCCATGGTGTGATTGGAGGTCACACTTCTGCTGGCCAATCAGCTTCTTCCTTTCTGTGACGGGACATTCACTTTGACCAATCAAGACTCAGCCCCTGTCAGACCAGGCAAACCTAATGAAATGTCTTTAACAAGTAATGCTTGTAATGCCAAAGGTAAGCGTTTAAACCAAAATATACACTTTAATAACGTGAAAATATGTGATCCGTGTAACTATAAAATAAAGAGGCAACACGATTTATTCATTTATTCAAAAACGTGTAGTTTCCTAAAAGATCTACACGCATGATTAGACTGTTAAAACTAATGAAAAAAGGTCATTCCTACTGTTCGGTGCCATTTCAGGATTAACTGTCTCTGAAAAAAAGACATTTTCCAAGATTTTCTAATTTCAGTTGAAGCAGTACTTATAAGACTATAAGAAAAACATATTGGTCCAGCTCAGGATGTTTTTTTTTTTTTTTTTTTTTTACAGAAGTTTCTCATGTAAATGTCCCACCTGTTACAGGGCATTTTCTTATCTTTTGAGTGAGACTGACTCTGCCTAGACTAGAGCTCTTCCTAACTCTGACTAAAGGAGCAATCAGGGGCATTTTTATGGGGCTTACAATTAAAGTAGAAGACAGGGTAGGATTTCACCAACAAGTGAAGTAAGCAGCTGCATAGTGCCTTAGGAAATTTGGAGGCCCCCAATAAATACCCAGAACAAATGATACACAACATTGGTTTCAACATATTTAGTATGGTGAGAATTTAATAAATTACATTTTAACATAATTATCATCACATCTATGCAAATTTGTCTTACACCTCCAGTCAGATGAAGATTCAGTTTTAAAAACTATTTATTCTAGATTTATTATTATTATTTTTATCAGTTCTGAATTCTTTTTAAGAAAACAAATAACTTCAAATGTAGAGATTTAATTAAGATAAAACATGCAAAATGAAATTCAGTGATATAAGAATCAAATCTGCAAAATAAATAAAAATTAATAAAACTACAAAGGGTGCGTTTTAGGACGGTTGGACCCCATGGCTGGAACTGCTTGGGGTGCCCAAATCACTAAAAACACCCCTGGTACATTAATTTCAGGGACAAACATTTACTGAGAGATTTTATTATTTAATAATTTTTTTTTAAATAGCGTTTGGTGAGATGTATATATGACAATACAAGATCATTGAAAAGTCTAGTATTTAATACATTTTTCAAAGTTATATTTGTAACTGAACATAATACATGACCTGGGACATGCAATTCTGCTAGACTTGCACTGAAGTTAGAGTTAATTAAAATTTTTAATTGATTTGTCCTATTGTGTAAATGGGATAATAAGACAAGCTTTAAGGAATTTTTTTAATTGCATATTCTGTACCATATAATGCCTTGGGGACTAAAATGGCTCCGAATAGTAGGAATGACCCAAAAACGAAATAAGCATTACACAAAGGACAAAATGCAGGACGTTTTGCTCAAAATTCAATTATAACAATAATCAGTTATGAAATAATCAGTCATGAAATAATCAAGTTATGAATTCGTACTGAAACAAATCAAAAACTATAGAATAAAGAGACTGACAATGTTCTTATTTTTAACTCACACAAATGTTGTGTTTACCTTTCTGTTATAGACATTTTACTATCATGAAGTACAAAGTGCAAATCTTTCCTTACAAAATGGCTAGACAACATGCTTAAAGATAATCAATTTATTATCTGATGTAGCTACATAATCCTATACAATAGAAAAGGGTATTAGTGAAAATAGGAGAGCTATTGACTTAGAAATGACAGGAGATTCAAAATGTAGGATATTTAACAACAATTAATAAGAATAACCAACACTTGCAATGAACAATATTCTAAGTTACACACAAATGTTTAATTCATGTATGCTTTCATCCAAATGCACATTTTATTACTGTATCATAAAACGGCTTGACAACATTTGAATATTCATCAATTTATTATCTTATGTACAGTTTCCTAACATATACAAAAGCTATTAGTGTTAATAATGACTGCTATTAAAAGAAAACAGCACAAAGCTTGAATTAAAAAGGATATGAGCTTCACAAAAACATTAAAATGCAGGATATTTTGCTATGAATAAAAAACAAACTCCAGTTTTTCCTTTTCATTGTAATAAGACATTGTCTATGAAGGATAAAACCTGCAAAAACAATAAATAAATGAACACACAAATATATAAATAAATGAGTAAATAAATCCATAAATTCCTGCATAAATAACAAAATACATAAATAAAATGCACATAAATAATTAAATGTGTATATATAATCCACAAATTCCTGCATAAATATATAAATAATTGATAGTGCAGACAGGTAAATTATTAAAGAAATTACATAAATATTGGGGCAAAAAGAAAATGCTAAACTAAAAGTTTACCCCCATTTAAATGTTTATTCATTCTTGAACGTAGTTTCGTATTTGCTTTTCCTCAGTTAAACATGCTAATGAGAGGGTGTTGTAATGTGTAGTGGATGCTAACAAAGGAGGTGCGGATCCAAATGTAGGTTAAGATCAACATAGGTTAATATATAATAAGATCAACATAGGGGCAAACAGATGTATGCAGCCAATCCAGAGTCGTAGTCAAATATCAGGCGAATGGTCAGTACAGGCAGGCAGCAGGCAATGTAAACAAACAAACAAGGTAAGGGTCAAAGGCAGGGCAAGGAAAATGCGTCGTAATGTTCACAATAGAGTATGACAGTGCTGATGTGAACGCTGATGTGAGTGCTGTTTAAATAGTCCTTGTAATCAGTCTTTGAGCAACTTTGTGAGTGTAATTAATCATGATCTGGAACAGGTGTGTGTGTGTGTGGTGCATGACTGGATATGTTGTCCATGTAACAGTGGATTTGTATTTCTTAAGTAATCTGCGTGTTTACCAGCAATATAGATGGATTAGATTGCTTGTGATTGTGACCATGTCTGTTCAGTCATCAAAAGGCGGCCTTTATGCCATGATTGGTTGATCCAGGGCTTAATTTGTGCCGGAACACACTCTGAAATCTGATCAGGCACCTCATTTTACCGGTCCCCCTACTCATCCGCCCTCCTTATCCGCTGTTCATTTTCACTTTGTTCTGCGAATACTCAACCCTCTTTACTTTCATCCGCGACAACCAACCCCCGCCCCTATACTTTTATGCGTGACACCTGTACATCCTCGGGTAGTATGCTGGATCCGTTACCGCGATCTGTTCCGGGACCTCGTGATTCACAAATTAAGCACTGGTTTGATAGTAAAAAAAAATTTGCATTCGATTTTTTTGACTGGCTTCTGACGATTAACAGACATACTCTCATTAACATGTTGACCTGAGTAAAGGGAATGCGAAATTACGTTCAAGATTGAATAAACATTTGAAAAGGGGGATCAACTTTCAGTTTAGCATTGAAAGTTTCAGCAGTTTACTGTATTGCCCCAATATTCGTGAAATTTCTTTAATTATATACCCGCCCACACTATTAATTATATATATATTTATTTATGCAGGAATTTGAGGATTTAATATATACATTTATTCATTTATTTGCATATTTACTTATTTATTGTTGTATTTATGCAGGAATTTATGGATTTATTTATTTATATATGTTTATTTATCTATTGTTTTTGCAGGTTTCATTCACCATAATTGTCAGTTTAGACACTGTCGAAAAACAACAATTATGTAGTGGAATGCTGAATATTTCAAGGTTTTTGTAAACAATCTAAAATCCCTATAGCCCACACTAAAAATGCCTATTGCTGCTTTGTGTATGACATGGCATGAAGAATAAAAGTTGTATAAACGTGTTGAGAAAACTACAATAGTGCAGAAAAAAAAAACAATATCTATAATGCAACTTCTTCAGTCATGTCAGGTATGTATATACATTAAGTAAAGCCACTTTTAAACCCACAACCTAAATGCTTCTTATAGACTACCAGATATTTCAAACAACCCAAAGGTGCAAAGATTTTCAATATCATGGTTATATATACAATGACCATGATTTACAATCTTACAAAACTTGATTTACAATTATACAGGTTAATCACTAAACAGATATCCGAGTGTCCTGTTGCAGCACATGCAAAAACACATCATAACTTACTGTAAACCATCATAGTGCATCTATTCAAAACAAATCCAGTATTTATCCAACATTTTAGCAATTCAGCACCACCTAGAACAGTGTTTCCCAACCACGCTCCTGGAGGCATTTGGATGTCTCCTTTGCCTGTTACACCCATTACAGGTCTTTCAGTCTCTGCTAATGAACTGATGATCTGAATCAGGTGTGCTTGGTTAAGGACACATGAAAAATGTGCAGAACTGGTGGTCCTCCAGGAACATAATTGAGAAACACTGACCTAGAATATAGTCCGACATACAAGAATGACGATAAGCTTTAAAATAAGCTTATTTTCATCATCATCTTCATCTTCTTTTTTACAGATAAACACAATTAAACAGGTAATAATAAGCATATTCACTGCCCCTACATTAAGATTAGATGAAGACAGGACAAGTGTAATGAAATAAGTAATAATTAGTAATAAGTAATGTTACTATATATTCATCCAGCTTCATGCAAATATTGTAACTTGTAATTGTTCCTGCAAAATAATTAGAGCTATTCAAATGTTTGTTTCATGATGCAAAACTTGCGTAAATAAAATGAAATGGATTTAAATAAACACTATGTTCACCGCTACAACAGACTTTAGACATTATAACGCTTTAAAAGGTGAATAATGAAGTACACTTAAATATAAACACTATATATAGGTAGTTGCAGGATAATACTAATATAAATTTTACATTTACAATTTTATTAGAACTTGACTCAAATTTATTTGACTCCCTTTATATCCACCTGGTTGAAAGTGATCTTTTGCTGTCACAACAAAGAGAGAGAAAATAATAATATCAAAATATTTAAGCATTTAAAATAAACGAGATGAACATATACATAAATGTCAAGAGACATCAGGATAAAATCTGAATGTCAATTATTGATTCTTATATACATTCAAGCTGTCTTCGGCCTCTAAATACTGAAAACAACATTAAACGGGAAATTACAAGAGGCGTTTTACACCTTGTTTTCTATCTATCAAAAATAGATATTTTAATTAGAGAAGATTTATTTAAAACATCTAATTCTTCAGTGTTGAAGGTGCCTAAATTTCTGTGCTACATTTTTTTTTTGGCCTAGTGCTGCCCTGGTATTGTATGCCAATCGAAAGCTCTTGGTTTTAGGGGGTTATAGTGAAAAAATATTTCATCACAAAATATATATATATATATATATATATATATCAGTTTGCTTTTGCACACTCACAGTGAAGATTGCTACAGGAAAAAAAATAATAATGAGCTTCTGATGTGACTTCCTATATATGGGAATATATAAGTGCGTGATGACTGGAGTCCTGTGGGCGCACTGAAAAGTCTTTAGTCAGTACCAAAGTTGGCATGCATGTGGACACTAGGGCTTGCACTCCAGTAGCGTGTGATGAATCTCCTGGAAGGATGGACGCTCTTTGGTGTTCCTGTGCCAGCAGCTCAACATGAGCTTGTAGACGGGGTCAGGACACATCGGTGGCTGCGGCAGGTATATCTGACAATGACAATACACTCAGTGTTATTACATGTGGTACACAGTCATGCTTGAGTTTTCATGGTTCTGTGTTTTACAAGGTAATATGATTTCTGTTTTTCTACAGAAGTTCATAGCTAAATATTTAATAGTATATATTTAATATATATTTAATAAATAGTATATATTTAATATATAAAATGCATATAAATGACAAATAAAATGTGTACAAAACTCAATACAAAATACTAAAAAATTAAGACATTTTATTAAAAAATTTAGAGCTTTAATAATTTTCTTTATGGCTTAGTCCCTTTACTAATCAGGGGTCGCCACAGCGCCAAAGCTAAATTATACAGCATATGTTTTACGCAGCAGATGCCCTTCCAGCTGCAACACATCAATGGGAAACATCCATACACACTCATTCACTACGGACAATTTAGCTTATTTAGTTCACCTGTAGCGCATGTCTTTGAACTGTGGGGGAAACCAGAGCACCCAGAGGAAACCCCAGAGTTCATACACATTTTGACTACTAAAATTCCATGACTTTTCCAAGACTTTTCCAGAACTTTTTAAGTAAATTTTCATGACCTATTGATTTATGTAATGTCTACATATACATGATAAATAAATAATAAGAAAAACAGTGCACGTTTAAATTTATTACAGCATATCATAGAACACAAAACACTCTACTTTGCTTAAATTAGTTTTTATATCTATGTAAAACTGATTTTGATAATGCTTAAACAGCACTAATAATGTGAGAGCATGTTTTTGGCCAAAGACAGAAAAGAAGTAAAGACAACTAACCTACATTCAAGTCAGGGCTGCACAATATATCGATTCATCGATATCGATATTGCAATGTGTGCATCCGCAATAGTCACATCGCAGGAAATGCAATGTTAAGTTGTAATTATTGTTTAATATAGAGTTTAATCATAATAGAATAAAAGTTTATCATGTCCATGCAGTTTTAAAGACATCACCCAAAAAAATACTTGCCATTTTTATTACACCCTTCACTTGTTTCAAACATTCTTTTTTAAATGAACACAAAATGAAGACAATTTAATAACTCTTTTACTATTGAAACAAGTGAAGTGTGAGTAAATAGTGAGTACATTTTAATCTTTGAGTAAGCTGTCCCTTTAGGCCTGTGACTGTGTGAACATTTCAATATTTCAAAGTTTAAAACATCCGTAAACAAGAAATGTTTTGTAGCTTTAATAAAGATTAAATTATATACAATAAAGAAAATGCAGTGTTGATTATTCAATATCTGTACCTAAATAGTGAACACCTGAAAACTATTATTCACTTTTGTCTTTGCTATATTTTATTTATCTGTGCTTGTAATTTATTTGTTATTTATTATATGAGATTCACTCACCTACAACCCCCTTCAACCCCAAAAAACCTAAATCATCTGGTGAAATTGTATTCACATAGCAATATATAATCACAGAAATACAAAATATGGTAATGTCAGATTTTTCCAATATTGTGCAGCCCTAATTCAAGTATACAGATATTTGTTAAACAAATGTCCTTGGCTTTTCCAAAACTTTGTGGGTTTTTCCAAAACGTTTCCAGGCCTGGAAAATGCCATGTCAAAACTCCATGACTTTTCCAGGTTTTTCATGACTGTATGAACCCTGTATCCCACACTAACACGGGGAGAACATGCAAACTTCACACAGAAATACCAACTGACTCCACCGAGGCTCGAACTAACGACCTTCTTGCTATGAGGCGACATCGCTACTCACAGCGCCATCGTGATGCCCAGCCATATTTATGTATTATTAATAAATATTAATGGGTTTTGTTTTCTTTTGTTTTTGCTAATCAATGTATTGTTTCATCAGTGTAAACACAGACTTCAAACCTCTCTGGTCATCATATCATACAGCCAAAACACTGTCATTGAGGAATAGGTATTTGATTAGTGATTGACTCGACTAAGTTTACCCAGCTGTGGCTACTTCCACCAAATGTGAAAAGCGTCCATCGGTTGCCTTCAGAAAAGCAGAGAATCATCCATGTACCTGTCTCCTCTGATCCCGAAAGAACTCCCCTGTGTTTTCAATGACCTGCTCGTCTGAGAGCTGTGAATAAGGCTGCTCTTTGCAGAAGGTAAGCATCTCCCAAAGCGTCACACCAAAAGCCCACACGTCACTGGATGTGGTGAATTTCCCCTGTAAAACAATGTTAGATTAGATGATAATCTGCTTGGTAAGTCTGACATTATCTTTCACAGTTTTGGGGTCAAAATCAGATGAAAAAAGCGAACAAGTGTGACCCTAGAACACAAAACCAGTATTTTGATGCACAGGTATATTTCTGGGAATAGGCAAAAACACACTGTAAAAATGTTAAGTCAGTACCACAAAAAAATCACATAATTCTTATTTCTTTTGGCTTTTTCTTGTTCACTCAACGTTTGAAAACTTCAGCTGCACTGACCTACTTATTTGTCAGTAATACAAAAACATGTAGTTGGGTTAACATAAGAGTATTAGTTTTCTGGAGAGGTTTTGTTACTACCCTGTTACAAATCTTTTTAAGTTGTGCCAACTGAATATTTTTTTTTAACTGCAAAACTGTTCAGTGAAAAAAAAAAAAAAAATCCTTATTTCCTTTTATTTTTTCTCATGTTCTCAACTTCTCAAGAAAAAAACTATTTTTTTCACCCTTAATTGACCCTTCGCTAAGCCATGCACGAAAACCACCACACACCAATCGTGGCTTAGCAACCGTAAGCGCAGGCGGTCTGTCAAGCTTTCGAGTGAGGGAAACAAGCCAAAGCGTTATGCACATGTATTGTGCAAAATCTGATACCTGGTATCCTAAGTCTGGACGGGGTGGTGTAATTTTTTTCTTTTTCAAAACCTAAAACCCAAAGGGAGAAATGCCAGTGTGGATCAAGCTGTGTGAGGAGTCGTAAAAGCAGCACAAATCTGTTTCAAGCTCTGATTATTTGGATTACATATCAACAGAACAAAACAGAGATCATAAACTGAGCACTTGTGATCAATATACTTCACCCGCAGCTGTTTTTCACTCATTTATAAATCTTATGTCCATGACAGAGCTACAATTCACCGATGTTTTCGTCCGTCCTTTAGAGATTTAGTCATTGGTGTTGATGTTACACCGAGTTAGTGTCTGCTTTTTTATTTGGTGTCAGATTAATATTTGCTGGTTGGGATTATCTATTTGTTCACTTCTACTGTTTATACTTTGATTTGCATTTCAAATTATTTATCTTTTCCACTTAACTGCAAATTAGAATAGAAACTAAATAAAAAGCAAAAAAACATTGTTATGGGTCAATGATGCTAACATTTGACATAAATCCATCATTTTTTACTTTCTGGCTGTTCTTTCTATGAATGAATTATGTAAAAGCATTGTTCATGCGTGTTTCCCTGTCGGTTAGTAACACTATATTTAATTGCACAACAATTAGTCTATCAGGCTTTTTGGCTAAAAATAGAGAAATCACAGTTTAATTTGTTATTATAAGATTATTTTTAAACGTCACCACTCATGCTGAGCATGAGCTAAGCTGTTGAATGGTCAGCATTTGAGGCGGCTAGGCTTTAGCTTCAATTTTGATTAAATTATTTTCTATTCGGTTGCCTATTATGTGGTGAATATTCCCCTGTAATGTATACTGCCGTCCTTTTTTGTCAGATATCTCAGCTGTTTGCCAAAAACGACTAATTATATATAAGCTTGACAGGCTTAACAACAGTAACTAAGGAGGGCGGGGCTTAGCGAAGAGTCAATTGACAGGACAGTAGAGAGTATAGACAAGAAAGCATGGGGAGAGGGGAAGGATTGGCTTAGGACCTTGAGGTGGGAATCAAACTCGGGTCACCATGAACACCAGAGTGCCATGTGTCGACACATTAACCACTACACCATTGACTGAAGTAGTTGATTAACAAATATCTGAAGTTGAGTGAACAAAAAACTCTTTGGGAAATTGATACTAAGAAATAATACATTATCAGAACAAACAAACAGTTTAACTGGAAAAACTTAATTGTCTTGTTCACCGTTATTTTTTTTTATCTTTAGTCTTGTTTCTAATTCTGTGTCTAATAAATGTTTTGGTAACATTTGTATGTTTTAATTTTTTTAAAATTGAACTATGTTTGTTCTGATAATGTATTATTTCTAAGTACCAATTTCCAAATTGTCTTGTTCACCGTTATTTTTTTTTATCTTTAGTCTTGTTTCTAATTCTGTGTCTAATAAATGTTTTGGTAACATTTGTATGTTTTCATTTTTTTTAAAATTGAACTATGTTTGTTTGTCCAGTTAATGTATTATTTCTAAGTACCAATTTCCAAAAGATTTTTTTATCCTAAAAGTCTGGACGGGGTGGTGATTCTTGTTGAGTGAACAAGATTTTTTTTGTTCACTCAACTTCAGACATTTTAGGCCAGTACGTGCAACTGATGTTTTCAAAAGTTGAGTTCACGTTGGCGCCAATGGTGTAGACACATGGCACTCTGGTGTTTATGGCGACCCAAGTTTGAATCCCGCCTCAAGACCCTTTGCCGATCCTTCCCCTCTTGCCATGCTTTCCGGTCCACACTCTCTATTGTCCTATCAATTAAAAGTGAAAAAAAGTTGAATATGAGGAAAAAAATAAAATAAGGATTATGTTTTTTTTACTCAACTTCGTGCATTCCAGTTCTGAAGACAAAAAATGTTCAGTTGGCACAACTTCCCCAGAAAAAAAAAACCTACCCAGAAAACTAATATTCTTATGTTAGTCCAACTACATGTTTTTTTTTTTGTATTACTGACAATAATCGTAAGTCAGTGCAGCTGATGTTTTTAAAAGTTAAATAAACAAGAAAAAGCCAAAAGAAATAAGAATTATGTTTTGTTTTTGTTGTACTGGCTTAACATTTTTTACAGTGTATTTTTACTCAGAATTATAGATTTTTATTTTATGCCAAAAAAACATTAGAATATTGATGAAGATATTTTTACATTTCCTTTCATAAATATATAAAAACTTAAAGCCAAAGTAATCCTTTTATATGTGATATGACTAAACACTGGTCATAAATTTGAATTAAGTTTTCTCAATAGAAATGAGTAGCAGGTTAGTCCCAGAAAGAGTATTCCAAACGTACACCTTAACAAGTGTATAAACCTACAGCATGTTTCAAAAAAAGGCGAGTTGAGATTTATTTGAAGCCAAATTATGTGACTGTTGTGCATGTCTAACCAAAAGAATGCTTTCCCAGGACATCCAGCGGATGGGCAGCACCGCTCTGCCTTGGATACGATAATAGTCTCCGCTATACAGGTTTCTGCTCATCCCAAAGTCTGCAATCTTGATGGTAAAGTTCTTTCCCACTAGGCAGTTACGGGTGGCCAAGTCTCGATGTACGAAGTTGAGTGAAGACAGGTACTTCATGCCTGAGGCGATCTGGCTGGCCATGTGGTGCAGGTTGCTGTAGCTGAAAGAGTTCAAATAAGGGGAGTCAAAACTGTGTGACGCCCCATTACACTGAACACGTCTATCAGGTTTAAAAATGTTTGAGGTAAACTGCACTGTCTTTTTAATTTATGATTTAATCAAGGAAGAATCACTGTGTCACATTTTATTAAACGTTAGCTAAACAACCAGCAAACAGAAAAGCACTGGTATGTGACAATAGCATCACAAGCATGTCTGTGGTCAAAGCTTTTTTGAGTATCTAATGTTTTGTTCCTCCTTATTACTTTATTTATGTATACATTACAGTACTAAGATGTCCCTAACATTGCCTTAAAAAAACTTGTATCAAATTTTTGGGGTTATTCCTGGTCTTGACAAAATACACACAGACAGGCAGTGCCATTTTGGAATACATATCGGCAGGGAATTTACAAAACTGAGGAATATGACTGAAGTTTAGGCTTTGAAATTATGCAGTTTTTTATTTCATTTTATGACACTATCAGCAATGACTACAGCTATTCTCTTCTTAAATGTTTTCATCTCATGTACCTGACTGTTGGGGCATTGCTGAGTAGAGCGATCATGCCCTCGGGCTCATGGCGGGACAGGAACTGATTAAGATCTCCGTTCTCCATGTACTCGGTGATCATACACAGAGGATCAGAGCTCATGCACACCGCCAGCAGCCTGATGATGTTTGGGTCTTTCAAACGGGACATGATTTTTATCTCCTTTAAGAAATCATTCCTGCAAAGTATAAAAGGGAACAGTTTTTCACATTTTGGCTTTATTTTGGATGTCACAAAGCAATTAAAAAATAAATAGAAAATGAATAGTGAAGTTATATTTCAGTATGTTTTATTCTGTAAAATTCTTTTTATATTTCAAAAGCTTGTTTGGCATGCTGTCAAGGGAGAGAGCCCTGAGCTTGTAAGATCCTCGAGCCCGGGGCTCCCTACCATTTGCAAGGCAAGAGGGAAGTTTGAGCTCAGGTAGATCTCGAGAACTCCCCTGCTATAGTAACTAAGGAACAGATAGTGATTGCTCTTAAGAGATAACTATTTACCAGGAGCATGTCTATAGTGTCAATTTGGATTATTCAAGTAACTTAAGTTGCATGTTTATAGGCCGTGGGAGGAATCCGGGAAACCCGGGGGAAACCTATGTGAGTACGGGGAGAACGCGTTAACGCCGCACAGAAACGTCGGCTGGCTTGATTAAGACTAGAACCAGCGATGTTTTTGCTGTGAGGCAACAGTGCTAACCACTGGGGCACCGTGCCAACCATCTAGGAAAGGAGGAGGAGTAGGGGTGGAAGGGGGGATTCTTCAAAAGAAGATGGCTGTGATATAGAACTTAGGGTATTTATAGTGGCTTAGGTATCGTCTGATTGGTGAATCATAAATTGAATAATGCTGGACCGGCTGCAAGCAATCATAAGCATGTGATCCTCTCAAAATTAGTTTAGAAATAAACTTCACTTAGATCAATTTTTGTTATAAAAATAAGGATAGATATTTTAAAGTAAATGACAGGAATGTGATGTTTTTTTGTGCCATGTATTTTCTTTTTGATTATAATATTCAAATTTGTGCAAGCGCTGTGACAGCTTGTGCATTTTGGCTTTTTTTTGCATGCGTTTCATTTTCATAAGATTGCAGTGTCAGTGTTTTGCTTTTATTTATAGAAGGTATGACTGTGAAATTTTGGTCTTGCAAACCTGGCATTTTTATTTGCATCTGCTCGAAGCATTTTAACAGCTACAAGCACTGTTTGGTTTTCAGTGACATCGAAGGAGAAGTCCTTATCCATGAAGTCTTGCATGCCTTCTGCTTCACATAAATGCACCTGGAAACACACAAAACCAGCCACTTAGAAAATGCATATATCATTCATGCACCCTTGTGCATTAATTATATTTGCTTTTATCATTTTAATGTGTTAAAAGGAACGTAAGGAATATTAATCTATTCTTTAATATGTTGCTTTCATTGATCTATTATACACTCGTTACAAAATAATTACACTGAGAACAAAACAGTCCCAATTAAACTGTCCCAATATTTTGGCACAGTGCTATAAGAAAACAAATTTTGCAATCTTTGTTAACAGGCTTCCAGTTTATTGGCGATGCTTCAACATTTTTTATGCTTTATAAAACTGAAAAGGGGTATTATTTTGGCACATTGTTTCAGGTTTGGTTTGTGGAGCAAATAAACAAACTTTCCAATCTTAAACTTTTGAAATCAGAAGGTCAAAATGAATTAAAATATTTTGTCCACAGTGCTTTCCACGTTTTTTTTTTTTATGTTACAGCCTTTTTCCTAAATGAATTTAATTAATTGATTTCCTTAACCTTCTACACACAATACCACAATAATAATGGCAATGTGAAAAAAGAGTTTTTGGAAATTGTTGCAAATTTATTAGAAATAAAAAAAACTGAAAAATCACATGTACGTATTTACAGCCTTTGCTCAATAGTTTGTTGATGTACCTTTGGCAGCAATTACAGCCTCAAGTTATTTTGAATATGATGCCACAAGCTTGGCACACCTGTCTTTGGCAATGTTTGTTCATTCCTCTTTGTAGTGCCTCTCAAGCTCTATCAGGTTGGATGGGAAGTGATGGTGTACAGCCATTTTCAGATCTCTGTTCAATAGGATTTAGGTCTGGGCTCTGGCTTGGCCACTCAAGGACATTCAACAAGTTGTTGTGAAACCACTCCATTGATTTTTTGGCGGTGCACTTTGGGTTATTGTCCTGCTGGAAGATGAATAGTCACCCCAGTCTGGTCAAGAGCACTCTGAAGAAGGTTTTCATTCAGGATGTCTCTGTACATTGCTGCATTCTATCCTGACTAGTCTTCCAGTTCCTGCTGCTGAAAAACAACACAAATGTAATGCCTGGCATTCACTCCAAAGACTTCAATTTTAGTCTCATCAAACGAGAGAAGTTTGTTTCTTATGGTCCGAGAGTCCTTCGGATGCCTTTTGGCAAATTCCAGGTGGGGAGTGGCTTCAGTCTGGCCACTCTACCATACTGGACTGATTGGTGGATTGCTGTACAGTTGGTCCTTCTGTAAGGTTCTCCTCTCGCACAGAAGAACACTAGAGCTCAGAGTGACCATCTCGTTATTGATCACCTCCCTGACTAAGGCCCTTCTACCCCGATCACTCAGCTTAGATGGCCGTTCAGCTCTAGGGAGAGTCCTGGTGGTTCTAAACACCTTCCACTCACGGATGATGGCCACTGTGCTCATTAAAACTTTCAGAGCAACAGACATTTTTTTGTAATGTTCACCAGCCTTGTGCCTTGAGAAAATCCTGTCTCGGAGGTGTACAGACAATTTCTTTGTCTTCATGCTTGGTTTGTGCTTTGACATGCACTGTCAACCCTGGGACCTTATATAGACAGGTGTATGCCTTTTTAAATCATGTCCAACAGTTCAACTTCTCAATCGACTGAATAAACAGGTGAACTCCAATTAAGCTGCTGAAACATCTCAAAAATGATCAGTAGAAACAGAATGTACCTGAGCTCAATTTAGAGCTTCACGGCAAAGGCTGTGAATACTTCTGTCTATGTGATTTTTCAGCTTTTTTATTTTTAATAAATTTGCAACAATTTCAAAGAATCTTTTTTTCACATTGTCATTATGGTGTATTGTGTGTAGAATGTTGAGGAAATAAATGAATTTAATCCATTTCGTAATAAGGCTGTAAAATAAAATGTGGAAAAACACATTTTTGGATTCACTGTATATGTGGGATACTGTAAATACCTTTAGGTCATTTATCTAAAGTCCTTAATATGCCTTTAGTTTATGTAAAATAACTTTTTTCATTAAAAATAACTTTATTAGCATTATGTAAACAAATTGTGATATAAAGGTTAAAATAAAAATAAAAAACTAAATGAATTATTTTTTTGTAGTTATCAATAGGGCTGATGCTAAAAAGCACATCAATGTAAAATTTACATAAAAATATTTATCCATTATGGATCCATGTTCAAAACACAAAGGTAAAAATAATCACTTTAAAACACTGAACACACTGAAAAGTGTGAATTAAAAAAAAAAATTAAACTCATCATGGTATGACAGCTTAAAGTGATCAATGGTTAAAATGAAGAACTTTATTTTTGTATTTTCATTTCAAAGAAATCATGTTCTTCTAAAATTTGAATAACACAAAACAGAAATCTAAAAACAGTGTACCACTGACAGTTTTAACATTGTTATATGGAAGAAAAAAAAACTTTTTAAATCATAAATTCAGCATATCATAATGATTTGTAAAGGACCATGTGAGACTGAAGGAGCAACGGCTTAAGTTTTTTTTTTTTTTGGTTTGGTTTGAACATCACCTAAATAAATTGCTAAACTGAAAAGAAAGCATTGAATTTTTTTTTTTTAATTCTTTTTAAAATCCAAAGAACTGACCTCTCCGAACTGCCCTTCTCCCAACTTTTCTTTAAAGGTAAGCAGTTTGCGAGAAAACTCCTCCACAGCGACGTCTTTCCCTGACAGTAGGTCCATAGTAAGAGCAGGTACAGCGTATGTGTTTCCCCCTGTGACGCCCTGCAGGTTAACAATGTCTGCCTCTGCGTAATGTGGGACGCCCTCTTGGACATTGACTGAAGGGGTCTTGGAAGCTGTAATTGTTGATGCTGCAAGAAATATACACACATATATATATATATATATATATATATATATATATATATATATATATATATATATATATATATATATATATATATATATATATATATATATATATGTATGTGTATATATGTATATACATATTCATATGCCATATAGCATCCTTTAAACCAGACATGTCGAAACCTGGTCCGGCCGGTGTCCTGCAAAGTTTAGTTCCAACCCCAATCAGACACACCTGGGCTAGCTAATGAAGCTCTTACTAGGCTTTCTAAAAACATCCTTGCAGGTGTGTTGAGGCAAGTTGGAGCTAAAATCTGCAGGACACTGACCCTCCATGACCGAGTTTGGACACCCCTGCATTATATATTTTCTGTAAATGAAACTACATTAGTTAATGTCACACAAATATTTATAAAAAAAAAACCTTAACATTGTGAGAGAAAGATTTGTTGGGCACAATTTTCAGCACACAATAAAAAAAAAAAGTTCTACAAACTTAAAACATTTTTAGTGTACTCCAATAAAATAAGTTTCTACAAATGTTTTGAGCAATCCGAATTGATCTGTTTTTGCGGTACTCACCGGTATCCTCGGATGTTTGGGAAAACTCAGGCAGTTTACGAACCAGCCGTGAGGGCTCTTGGTAGTCGGGGCCCAGAGGGAATATACGCTCGTAGGTGGAGCTGGACTCCTGCTCACTGGGCACTGAGGACGGGCTGTTGTTGTTGTTATAGGTGAAGGTCTCACTCTGTATTGACAGACTAGCAGTTAGTTCATCGTCCAGCATCCTCCGAGACACCTGGAATGAAGGATGTTTAGTGAAGAAAGCCGAAAGGGCCAAAATATAAGCTCCCAATTTGATCTGCATTTTTTTTCATTAATATCTTATTAAGTTAAGGTATTTTCTTTATAGTCATAAGACACTCAAAATTGCATATAAATACTACACAATTGCATCTATCAGGGACTGCAATAATAATTGCAATAATAATTGCCATAATTATTAATTTTCAATTAATTATAAAGTGTAGTTCTTCCAAAAAAATTTAACTTCCTCATTTACTCACAGTTAAGCGGTTGTAAACGTTAATGAATTTCTTTCATCTGTTGAAAAGAAATCAAGATGTTCCAAAGAAATTTTGAAAAAAGCAGCCTTTGGCATCCATAGTAGGAACAAAAATACTATGATACTAAAATATTATTGTCTTTCCTTGACATTCTTCAGCATATCTCCCTTTGTGTGCTCTCAAACAGGTTTGAAACAAGTGGAGGATGAGTAAATGATAAAATAATTTTCATTTTTGGATGAGCTACCCCTTTAAAATCTGGTGCAGAATTAATGTAAGGAAAATGTGAGTCATAATTGTACACATATTTGATCATAATTGGATAAATACACTCAAAAGTTTTAACACTCAGTTAAGTTTTTAAAGTTTTTTGAAAGCTAACAGATTTTGTAGCTTTTATGCTAACCACGACCACATTTATTTGATACAAATAGTAGAATTGTAAAATATTTTTCAATTTTTTTTAGAATGGTGTCTTGTTTAGTCCAATTATCTAAAATTCTTTAATCAAGAAACGTTTAATAGGCAAGCAAAAATATTGTCTTGTTTTCTAAAATAATAATTTGTAAATAAGTAAAATTTTCCTTAAAACAAGCTAAATATTCTGCCAATGGCATTAGTAAAATTTTCTCTTTGAAACAGGATTGTATTTCTTAGCCCATTGGCAGATTATTTTGCTTGTTTTAAGGAAAATACTTACTGTAATATTGACATATTATTCCTGAAAAAAAGACTAGAAAGTGTCTATTAAATTCTTCTTAAAATGTAAGAATGTTTTGATATTTGGACTAGAAACAAAACAAACAATCTAAGCAATAATGCATCTTTGAAGTGTGTTTACTTTTACCAAATAAAAGTATTAATTTCTAAATAAAATTATTTATTCCTGACTGTAAATGTTCTGACTCGGTGGTGACCAGAGTGAAATACAGGACCTACAGCAATATACACTGAATTGATATTGAAATATAAAAATTGTCTTCATGACTCATTTATTCTAATACCGTGCAATAATTAAGATGTCAATCACATCTAAATATATATAAAGTTGAAGTCAGAATTATTAGCCACTATTTGAATTCATTTTTCATTTTTAAATAGTTCCCAAATGATCTTTAACAGAGCAAGGAAAGTTTCACAGCGTGTCTGATAATATTTTTTCTTCTGGAGAAAGTCTTATTTGTTTTATTTCAGAATAAAAGCAGTTTTTAATTATTTATGAACCATTTTAAGGTCAATATTATTATCCCCTTAAAGCTATATTTTTTCGATAGTCTACAGAACAAACCATCGTTATACAATAACTTGCCTAATTACTCTAACATGCCTAATTAACCTAGTTAAGCCTTTAAATGTCACTTTAAGCTGTATAAAAGTGTCTTGAAAAATATCTAGTCTAATATTATTGACTGTCATCATGGCAAAGCTAAAATAAATCAGTTATTAGAAATGAGTTATTAAAATAATTATTATTATTTTATTATTATTATTAATTACCATGTTGGTGACCCCTGTTGTAGTTTATAAAATGCATGTAAAACATGTAAAGGAGTCAAAACAGCTTCAGAAATTCCTCAGTCAGACCCATTTCCAGTGCCTGCACTGAATAGTGAAGACCAATTATCATAATAAACGAAAAGAAAAAACCCAGATATGTAAGTGAATTCTGTACTTTTCCTATTATATATTGTCCTGTTTTTAGTTTGACATGTGCTGTATTTATATTTCTGTCAACTTGCACCAGAGTTTATCTGAACTCTTTTCATTAGTCTTCTTTAGTCAGTTTTTTCAGTGCACCACAGGCTTCAGATTGCTGTGTTCAAACAAATTCAAATCAATTTTAATCAAACCAAATTAAACAAGAATGTACAACACCCTTCATCACAATTTGCAAACTTCTGTCTGTCATAATAAATCTACATGATTATAATCTATAGTGATTATCTCTCAAAATCGGCTCACCTTCTCGAGCATCTTTTGCCAGACTTGTCGCCATAGTATAATAACAATAATTGCCACTAAAATAAAAATGATTGCAACAAGGCAGCCAATTAGGATCCGGGTATTGCTGTCATCTACTTTGTGTGTAGGGTCATCCCCTAAGAAGGGGATAAAGAGGAAGACAACCTGTTGATGAAATGACTCTCCAGAAAGAAAGACTGAAGTTTAGCTGATTTCAACACAGAATCAGCTAATCTATTAGCGAATGAGGGGAAATCTGACCTGGCTGGTTGGTGAGAGGAGGGTCGGTCCTGGGGGGAGTCAGAGTTGTGTTGTACATGGCTGTATCTGAAATCACAATGTCAAAAATGTCATTAATATCTTAAATCTTTGCTGTTATTATAAAAAGAACATGGTTGACATATTCACTTGATGCTTATTAAACCATTTTACATGGTGTGCTGCCAATTATTTGCTTCTGCCAAAACCAATTTTGGCATACTCCCTTGTTTTTGTTTTAAAACTGGTGAGCATTAAAGTTGTCTATTTACAATGTGTTATTGCAGCATTGAGCAATGCAGCCAATGACGGGTATATCTGTTTATCTATTGAACGAAATAGACAATCAGAGGTGATTGAGTTAGAATGCTCACCACTCAAAATGTATGATTTTATTGTTCAATGCTGAGTTCTGTCCACTCACAAATCCTCGTAATTTAACAAACAGAGTGTAGACAACATGCAAATATGAGGTTTGGTGTGTGATGAGATGAGGTGAGGCATTTGATGAGCTGATGAATTGAATACATTTTTACCAGTGTAAGAATTATACATGGACTATCGTGGTTGTTGGCTTTTTCAGTAGTTTGTTTAATAAATTCACATCTCATTTATTAAATCAAACACGTTTTCAGTGTTTTATGGATGATGAGTGGATTCTGACCTACAGTAACATCTGCATTGTGTGGGAAGAAAAAGACAGGGTCGGCGATATCAGGTAAGCAATACACTTTATTATATTTATGCACACCACTTGCAGGCTGTGTCTGTGTGTGTGTGTGCTCTCTCCTCTCCCGACTGCTCCTCCCGTTCTCCTTAAGAAGGGACCCGCTGATTAGCCGCCTGGCTCCTAGCATGCTCTCCCTCCTTATTGGGTGTTCGATCACGCTTACCTCTCCACAAAGACAATAGGAGGCTTAATGTGTGACTTCACTAAAGAATGGTCATTACACAGCTGTAATTGAGTACTAGTACTGTAATTGAGTTCTCAACTGAAGTAAATAAAGGCTTGGACCTGGAAACAGTATTCCATATATCCCATCTTAACAAGCAGATTTACTAACCTGACTGAAAGGTGATTTCACTGAACATCATCCAGATGTCAGAAAAGTAGTACTGGCACTTAATAGCACTGGCCATGTGGTTATAGAGCGAGACGGTGACGAATCGAGCACTGGGGTTCACATCATCCATCACCGGGCTGAATGATACAGGCGTCGCCTCCCAATCCAGCTCTGAGCGGAAATAACACACCACCTTCTGAAAGGTCTTCACTCTTCGGGAGAACATGTTGTTGCAGTGCACCTGAATCAATTTGGGATTAAAAGAGATGGGTGTAGTTTAAGTAGAGCTTGTTTAAACCTCTTACAAATACTTTAATCCTCCCAATTTCCAAAGTCTAAGCCCTAATTGTGTTAGGTTTCAGCAATTACACTGACTGGACATTTAGCAACACCCTCTTACGCTTGATTTCCTGGGAAGTTTATGTGACTGGAGTGGAGAGAAGTGGTTGTACGACGACAGACATTTGTACCTTCATGGTGGTGAAGTTGCGGGTGCGGTCAAACTCAAACATGATCTCAACATAACCGTTGGGAAAGCTCTCATTGGTCCAGCCGACGTAGTCATAACCAGGCCAAACGTTGTAGACGTGACTGAGAGTGAAGTCATCCAGGCCGCACATGCCATCCGTCAGTTGTCCAAGTCCTTCTGTCATACTGCAGGGCAAAATAAAGACAGAATGAATGTGTTCCTTGTATATTGAGATGCAAAAGCCGTCAGAATTTTTCTTCTAAAATTTGCAAGTTTTCATTCCAATGGCAAATTAATCTATTTTAATAATGCATGCTGCTATTTCTTTTGTATTTAATGAGTTTAATATAGTCTTTAGGTTATAATAATAAAATAGAGTAATACAAATTAAATTCATTATCAGAAATGAGTAATTATGCTTTATTATCAGTTCGTCAGAGTATATTATTGCCTTGAGCATTTGAAATTGTGTGATCGTCATTGACTTTTCATTTTCTCAGACTCTCAAAGAATGTTGCTTGTTTAAACTCCTTATTTAAAAATGAGCAGAAACAACTGAAAACAACAATTCTGGAGATTTTTTGGGATAATTTTAGGCAGCGTTATGTTCAATCCACTTAAATTTGTTAAGCTAACTTAATCAATTTGTGTTAGGACAACATGAATAAATTGTGTGGGACCCTGTATGTTTATGTTCAGTTAATTCACGTAAAAAGCAATGAAAACAGCACGTTCTTTGCGATACATTTTGTATTCCTGAGCCTAATAAATCTGCTCATTTTAGAAGAAAATTTCAGAGAGCACCAAAAGGTCCCTGCAGGCACAGGATGTCACATGCAGTCATATTGACGTTATAATCCTTTTTATTTTCAAGTATTACTGCCACAGCTTTACTAAGCACAGGAAATACTATTGTTATTATTAATTTATTGTTATTGTTACTATCCAAAACATTACAATGGTATATCAATCTGTATTTTAATAATGCATGCTGTTATTTTAGAATTTGATTAGTTTAATATAACCTATAGGTTAAAATAAAATAAGTAAAATAAAGTAATTATGTATTATTATCTATTAGTCAGAGTGTATTGTTGCCTTAGGTATTTGTAATTTTGTGAGTCATTGGCTTTTCCTTTAATGTTCTGCCACATCACCACTAGATGGCGCTATTATATAAGCCTTTGTCTTTTTTTTTTTACAGCTATGATGACACACACGTCTCTATTGTGCTAGTTTAATGACTAGTATGAATGAGTGGATTTCAACTCTGCGGTTTTCTGCAAGCTCTTTCACACACACACTCACACACACAAGAAGGTAAACACGCTTTGCACTGTGTCATGGAAGGTATTGTTCAGGCAGCAGTGACTCAAGTTCTCCTTGAACATTGTGAAACCACTGTGACTCTCATCCATCCTGAAGCCTGTCTTCATAGCAACAGGACAATAACACACAGTGGCTATATTGTGCTGTAACTGATCTTGGATCAGAATTTCCATGTACAATGCATGCATCCGGTCTGTTCAAACCATGAATATGAATCGTCATCATCATCATCATCATCATCATCATCATCACCATCATCACCATCATCATCATCATCATCATCATCATCATCATCAGTGATAAAATATGTTGTGCTTCATATTTGTGAGTAAATTGTAATACATTCAAAAGTACCATTTCAGTTTATCTGAGCTTTTATTTGTCAAGGAAACATGAAATTGTTTAAGAGTAAAAGATTAAAATAAAGACAATTATAAATGTAAAAAAAAATTTTTGAAAATAAAATTGGGTTTATTTAAAATAAATGCTGTTATTTTAAATACTTTTCATCCAATAATATAAAAAAAAGTAATATTTTTACGATTTAAACAAAACTATGGAGCAGGAAAAAATGTCATCATTGATAAATATAAGGCTCATTATTATTGAATGAGTACAAATAATAATTCATCATAATAAAATAGCAAATCAGCATATTAAAATATTTTCTCTGTGCGACAAAGAAGACCAGAGTAAAATGTGAAAAACGGGAATTAATGACATCATAAAACATGATAATTGAAAAAGTAAATATGTTTTAAAAATGTTAATACTATTTCACAATATTACCATTTTATTGGTAATAAGACTTATTTTATTGGGCAAGACTTCTTCGAAACTTTATTTTTAAAAAAAGTTCTCATCTCAAACTTTTTGATTGGTAATGTTTTTGTTCTCAAGTGTATAAAAAGGTACTGACCTGTAACTCATGGCTCCATCATACACAGAGTCATTAAGATAAATATGTTGTCCATTCAGACTCATCTGCTGGCCGAGTGGGGAATTATATGAAACCAGTCCATCTAGAAACAGGAGAACAGTCTTTTATTTTTAAAAATGTTAGAGGAGGGTGCTGTACTGTGACAAAATGCAGATTCATCCCAATAAGTGAGTTGTCAATACAAAAATGATAACAATCTCATCTGCATTTACAATGTCCATAACAGCAATTAAAACATTACTGTAATGTTTCTGAAAGAGAGAGAGAGAGAGAGAGAGAGATTGCAGGGGTTGTGAGGACTCAATATGTAATTAAATATAGCCAAAATGAAAATATTGTCCTGGAAACACATGCCAGGAAAATAAAACAGGGGTTTTCACAGTGATGCCACAGATGGTGATGCAATAGTCGCTATTTGTTCCTCAAAAACATTTTGTTAAAAGGTTTTTCATAGCATGAAGAACATTTTAATAATCTAAAGAATCTTTTTTAAACCTCTTGTGGAATGAAAAAGGTCCATTAAAAAAAGTGTATTAACATTAAGATTATTAAATCGCTAAAACCCTTATCTGCCTTGTTACAGCTCATTTTAGCTAAATATTTTTGCTAAATATGAACAATTCATACAGTACAATAACAAAGACAATTTACTTTTAATATGATTAATAATTGTTAAATTTTTAAATTGTTAAAAATACAAATTGTTAAATTTAAGTTTCTGTGTGCACACACGATGAGGTACCGCGAACCGTACCCGAGTTTGCTTGAAAACAGTGGTCGATGCACGGTTAACGCAACCTTTACGGTTAACTAAAGATGTGATCTCATTAGCACCAAATCATGGAAATGCCGCACGTATGAATTAGTCAAGCACTGTATTTATGCAATGCAATTTGCTTTTCTGACACATACAGTAGGCGTACTGAAAATGACAAGCAGTAAACAGATGTAATTTCTAATTTAAATATGTAATTCCAAATCATATTAAAATACAAGATACGTATAAAATACACATTACAATACATTGTTTTGATTTGAAAGATATACAAATATCTTATATATACATGGTCCAAGCAACATTTCCAGGTTTTGGAGAATAGGCTACTATGCATTAATATAAGTACAGCAGTTTTCTGTGAACAATGCCATTAATTAACTTTTAAAAGCACATTGACATTTTATTTTACCTAACTATTTCTAATGTTTAAAATGGCAACAATAATACATATAATTAATAATAGGAAATAATCTGGCTAATTGTTGAGCAATGCAGAGCTGTCGCTGCTTAATTAGGCCAACTATGCTACAATATTTCAATACTGGTCACTTTTTTTTTTCTGAAGTGGTACTTGGTTAAAAAAGTTTGAGAAACACTGCTAAAGCTTACTGTAGTATTAACAATTTTGATAAACTGTAATAAGCACTTTGTTACACCTTAGTTTTTACTACAGTAAACAGTGCAGTACTGTATTAGGCAATTTCCTTATATTAGCTGCTGTATTACCATTACAAATATAGAATTACCACAATAGATTAATTCAAGTATTTACTACAGTATGGTTCAAAACGTACTATATTATTTTCGATATCTACTGTGGTATTCATTCAACCGAGTCATTTAGAAACTAAGCAAGTGACTGTCAAAACTAAAGTAAATCTAATAATAAAAACGACTTTTCAGAAAAATCATAAAAAATCATGAATCATAAAAATTTGAAACAACATGTGGGTGAGTAAATGCTTATTTCTTCTTAGTAAACTACTCCTTTGAGTATTAATTTTCTTTAAGTGTTGTGAAGTATTTGAGTAATGTTACTGTATTTAAAATCCAGGTAAACCAGGTAAACCTATTTTTCCAACTATTAAACAGGAGACTCAAACTCATTCTTTGTTTCAGTGGATTAATTGTTCACCTTCACTATGTGCACTAGCAAAATAAACACTGTACATTATTTATTTCATCCTGGCTTGAAGTATCCTTTAAAAGATGAGAAATAAAATTATTTTGCAAGGTATCCAACATTTTTGCCAATATTACTAAATGGTAATCTTCCAGATTACACAACATTGAAGGTTCTTTTTTGTGTGTGTTTACCTTTACTCACTCAAATTGTCAAGAGGGAAATTTTGTGAGTGTGTTAATGGGTGGTTTCTGATTGGCAGGTGTTTTACATTTGCGACTAGGACACAGTACAGAGTCAGTAATGAGGCTGAAAACAGAACGTTCAGTACAAGCTCACTGTTTCAGGACTGTTTTATTCATCCTTTTACACTGAACAGACCTTTTTTTTTTAGCAGTTTAGCTTAACTGAGACTTATCTGTAGTATCTGTAGATGATTAAAATGCTGTTGAGCTACTTAATTTTATTTAAATTTTGAGAAAAAAAACATGTTATTGCTCTTCTAACAAATTGGCTGTTTTTCTTTTGTAAAGAAAGCTGTAAACCTGTAACCATCGACTTCCATATTATTTGTTTTTCCAACTACAAAAGAAGTCAATGGTTACATATTTTCAACTTTATTCAAAATATCTTTTTTTTGTGTTCAATAGAAACTCATAAAGGTTTGGAACTAGTTGAGGGGGAGTAAATAGTGAGGAACAATTTTTTTTTTTTAGGTGAAAGATCACTTTATGTACTGTTAAAATCAGACACTCAAAATAGTTTTACTTATGTTTGGTTTTAAGGTACTGTTTGCACCTCTGGTTTTTAATGAACCCGTTGACTAAACAAAATGATTTGAAGTATTTAAAGGAATTGTTCACCCAAAAATGTAAATTCTGTCATCATTTACTTATCCTTTACTTGTTTCACACCTTCATGAGTTTCTTTCTTCTGGTAAACACAAAAGAAAACATTTTGAAAAATGTTGGGAACCTGTAACTATTGCCTTCCACAGTATTTGTTTTTTCTATGGATGTCAACAGGTTTTCAACTTTCTTCAAAATATCTTCTTTTTTCTCCAATAAAAACTCATAAAGGTTTAAGAAAGTAAGTAAAAGTCATTTTTTGGTGAACTATCTCTTAAAACTAGTAATCAGACTTACCCAGCCACTCACAGCCGTACAGTTCCACACGCATACACACATTCATAGAGTGATCAATGACGGGCATGAATCGGACGAAACGGGCAATGATGGGCGGCTCCAGGTCCTTCAACACGATGTCATAGGCATTTCTGTTTCCCTCAATCACCTGCACAAAGCATTAAAAATGCATTTAGACTCTGACAGTTAAGTGGATCAAAAACATTTTTCAAAATTGTCCTAAGATAAGAATGGGTGTTCAATAGTTTTAGGACAGCTTCGATGAAAGGTTTTGATACACTTCAAATGTTGACTACTGTATGGCCAAAAGTATGTGGACACAACAAGCATTGGTCTTCTTTAAGTGACACGTTGGCACAGTGGGTAGCGCTGTCACCTTACAGCAAGAAGGTCACTGGTACGAGCCCCGGCTGGGTCAGTTGGCGTTTCTGTGTGGAGTTTGCATGTTTTCTTTGTGTTGGCATGGGTTTCCTCCAGGTGTTCCCCCACAAGTTCAAAGACATGCAATGTAAGTGAATTTGATTAATTAAATAGGCCATAGTGTATGTGTGTGAATGAGTGTTTCCTAGGGATGGGTTGCAGCTGGAAGGACATCCACTGCGTAAAACATATGCTGGATAGATTGGCGGTTCATTCCGCTGTGGCAACCCCTGATGAATTAAGGGACAAAGCCAAAGGAAAATGAATGAATGAATGGTCCTCTTTAACTCTAGCTCTTTTTGGTCTCTTCTAAGCAAGTCATTCAGAAACAAAAGGGCCAGTAAGGTCAGGAGCAGATGTTATGGGCTCTGGCTCACAGCCGGTGCTCCAATTAATTGCAGAAGTGTTTGGTTCAGATCGCCACACCAGATCCAGTAAACCATTTCTTTAAGGACTCTGTTTACAGAGGCACAGGAAAAACTAACAAAAAAAAACAAAGACATTCCAATTCAAAAACATTTGAATGTTGAGACTGCCAAGATTTTGATTTGATGTAAAAACCATTTTATATATAATATAATATAATATAATATAATATAATATAATATAATATAAAATAATATAATATAATATAATATAATATAATATAATATAATATAATATATTATAATATAATAATACTTCTAAAGGGTTAGTGATATTTTGTATTCCTTTGTAATACTTAATACTGCAATAATATTGTGTATTGTAAAACTGCAATAAACATACAAATATTATAAAAAGTCTATTTTTATATATTTTTAAATAAACTAAAATAAATAAATATTATATTAAACAATAAAAAAACATTATTCTTAAATGACATCACCCAAAAAGGTAACATATCTCTATATTATTTTCATACATGTTATTACATTTTCGAAATTAATGTAACCTAATTAAAGTAATTAATGTAAGATGTAGAAAGCTCCAAACTGTCATGAAGACTTTCAGGACCATTGCTAAGGCTTGAAAAGTAATAAAATCATAATTAATGTTTTGTTTCTAGAACAACCTGATCATTTCACTTCATATGACCTCAGAGTATCATCAGGAGTCACATAAATTAATTTAATTTAGTCTGTTTTTAACTCTCCTATTGCCAATAGCCATCAATTAGCATTTTATGAATCACCAAGGACCACAGTTTCTGCTGAAAAGCTTCTCTAATGTTCAACTGAAAACAAAAAGTCACTTAAATCTTAAATAATGAGTAAATTAACAGCCAATCTCTATTTGTTTTGTGAAGTTTCCATTCAACAATAATGTGTAAGAAGTTGAATAGGATGCCACATATGCAGTGAGACGTTGAATAGTTTATAATGGTGTTTTTTTTTAATCATGCACCTCTTTGCCCTGTCGGTTCCTCCAGGAGATCCAGCGACTTCCGTCACGGCTGTATTTAATCTTGTACGTCTGGGCGAATTCATTGCCGATGCCGCCTGCGTGTCGCCCCTGAGTGCCCACCAGAGTGATGAAATGCAGAGAGCGCAGGTCGATCTGAAGGAACTCCTTCATGTTCTCTGGTTCTGCTGGGATCTCAGGACACCAAGCTCCATCGCCCTCCTCACAGTCCAGTCTAGGTCAAATAAATTAAAAAAAAAAAATTATCAAAATATTTAAAACAAACAAACAAACAAACAAACAAACAAACAAACAAAAATAAATAAATAAATAAATAAATTAATAAACATCAAACAAACAAACAAACAAACAAACAAACAAACAAATAAATAAATAAATAAACTGCTTCATTTTACAACTGAGTTTTCTGCATCATAATTCAGTCTAAAACAGTTCATTTTTGGTCGCAGGGAAATGTGAACACTTGCAATCAGTGAAGATGTGATATATGGAGGAAGCATAATTACATCACTTTAGTGAAGCTGAAAAGGCCACCCACATTTCACCAGATGTGCTTTAAATTGCTCCAACCAAGATAACCTGCACTATAACTCATATGTATGTGTGTGGGTGTTGTGTGTGTTTTCATACCTGCCATATTTTGCTGCGGTGGATTCTGACCACTGACTTGAAGCTGATATATCTTCATCTAAAATCTGCCCCCTGGACATGCCTAATGGGGACCGACACACACCTGGAGAAAAAAAAAAAAAAAGAGTAGTGTTTATGGGACTACTGCTATTTAAGATGTAATAATAGCAATAACAAAAATAACAATCATTCATTCATTGTTTTCATTCATTTTCTTTTTGGCTTAGTCCCTTTTTTAACCTGGGGTCGGCACAGCGCAATGAACCGTCAACTTCTCCAGTACATGTTCTACGCTGCGCATGCCCTTCCAGCTGCAACCCATCATTGGGAAACACCCATAACAATCATAACAACAATAATAATTATTATTATTATCACAACAACAACAACAATAGTACTATAGTAGTAATAATAATAAAAAATAAAATAATAAAAATATATATAAATAAACAAATTAAAACAATTGGTACACTTTTTATACACATCAATAAATAGACTTTAAATAACTTTCAAATATAAATGTAAAATCATGTTCATCTTGCAATTATGAAAGCTCAGAAAGATTTCTTATGCGATTCAGAGGCTTCCCCTTCTGTTGTTATTGCCAGTGTTGTTGTCTCTGCTGGCGATTACTTCCTGTAGTTTGTTACAATCGCCAGCAGGGTTTTCTCTTTGGAGATTGCTGCTGAATGAACTACAACTCCCAGAACTCCCTGCGCTCATCAACTTCTAGAGCAGTTGACAATAATCCGGACCGGACACTCACACACAGACACAGCTGCTGCTCATCTATACTGATTACAAGGACTATAAATACACCTCACCTTTATTCACACATTTGCTGTGTCTAGTTTCTATCACGAACATTTGAAAGTGTTTCTTCCTTGTTTGTTTTACTGTGTGTTGATCCTTGCCTTGTTCCTCGTCTTGACCCATTGCCGCCTAGTCGGACCTCTCGCCTTTATATTGACCATGATTTTTGAATTACCCTTATGATATTGTTTTGTTCCTGTTTTGCCTGTACAACCTTGATAAATAAACTGCATTTGGATTCGCACCTCTGGACCATATATATTTGCATTTTTTCTATAGCACTAATGTGAATAACAAAGCAGCTTTACAAAAAGTGCACATTTCTACATTACAAATAACAGTAAAAAAAAAAATGTAAGTGTTTTTCTTTCATTTATTCACTTGTCGGCTTAGTCCCTCCCTTTATTAATCCGGGGTCGCCCCAGCAGAATGAACCGCCAACTTATCCAGCAAGTTTTTACGCAGCAGATGCCCTTCCAGTCGCAACCCATCTCTGGGAAACATCCACACACACTCTCATACACTACGGACAATTTAGCCAACCCAATTCACCTGTACCGCATGTCTTTGGACTGTGGGGGAAACTGGAGCACCCGAAGGAAACCCACACGAACGCAGGGAGAACATGCAAACTCCACACAGAAACTCCAACTGAGCCGAGGCTCGAACCAGTGACCCAGCGACCTTCTTGCTGTGAGGCGACAGCACTACCTACTGCGCCACTACTTCGCCATAAAGTGTTTTATTTATTGTAAAATGTCTAGAATATTGAAATACATTTTTCTCAGCTGCATTTCTTATCTACAACTGATTATTTTTTTTTTGTTATAATATTTTTAAGAAAACAAAAAATATCTGTATGACATACTACTCTTGTCATCATACACCAGACATTATTGTTAGAAATACTAATGTGCATTACATGTTTGTTTATATAACTACTATTTTCATCTATAGTGCTTTATTAAGCTAGAGGGCCAAAGATATTTAAAAATAACTAGAAAATAATGCTTTTTATTAACTAATACAGCATAATTTTTATTTTATTTTATAATGAACTTATTACAGTAAAAACAAAAGTCTAATTAATCTAATTTTTAAAAGAATGGAGTTACACTAGTTTTGCCTTGTTTGCTCACTGATGTCTTTTTCATAGTCCTCTATATGTCGAGTGACATTTTTAAAAATCAGATTCATTTAATCCAACTATTTAAATACATGAATTTAATCAAAACATTTCGTTTCATTTTTTTGTAGCTCAGCAATAAAACAAGCAAAAAAGATTACATCAAATTATAATTGACGATCTCTTTTAAAGGCATTCGCTTCAACTCTCTCTATCCTTCTCACTCTCTTCTTAGATGGGATGGTGGGCCAAATCAATGGGTACAATGGGCCAGCCTTTGGGCGTCTCTGCTGTAGAGATTTGATGTAATCCAAGACCTGTGAAGAGATGATGCCAACCACAGAGCACTTCTAGAGGTATCCATAATCCTGGACCAGGCCATATCCTGAGCAAATGCTGTGTCAGTCATGAAGAAGTGGAGAGCATGAGACTGATTCCTGAAAGACCCCAGTGACAGACAAGTCTTCATATTGATCCAGTGGGCCAACTTGAACACCTGCAACTTCTGAAAATTGCAACTGAACTGAAAATTGCACTGACACAGCTTCAATTTACTAGAACTTCTATGTTAATCTACTTCGACACAATCTACATTGTTATAGCACTATAAAAAATAACAATTAACTGAAATAAAAAATAAATGTAATTGAATTTTAAAAAGCAGGTTTTTATTTTAAATAGACAAAAAAAAAAAAATTATTCAGATTTGCTTTCTGAGAAGAGTAGAGTCTTGAAGAAGAATTGTTAAACAGAAGAAGGTTTTTGGACCACCAACATCGGCTCATAAATGCTAGAATTATATCCATTTGAACAGTGTATTTTACAACACTATTTAATATTTTGATTGCACGATCACCTGATACTGTCAGAGCAACAGAAAATATTTATATAAACCCTCCTAATCTCTCTTAATATCTCTCTCTTACTTTGAGTATCCACATGAAGATCCGGACATTAAAACAGAAAAAAGTGTACAAGGACACTCCTATTCCAAGTGGCCCCTCCATTTCAACAAAATAGCCTTTGTGATCCTGCCAGCAATAGCAAGGATAGTGGTGAAGGACTTTTTGTCTCTCTTTTCAATTTTTTTTTTTCTGTCTCTCCTCCAAATGTTTGCTTAAAAGTCAAGATGGGGGAAACCTCAGAGGCTTGGTTTTGGCAATGACAAGCTGATATAATCCAAAACGAGCCGAATCCCCCAACAAAAAGCTCTTCCAGATGTAAGAGAACGACATCAACCTCCCCCATCACTTTCTCTCTCTCTCTCTCTCTCTCTCTAAATCACATTTACTTTTATAGCTAAGACCGGACAAAATGTCAAATACGGATGTTTGTGATAAAAATATTTTATTTTGTACATATTACACATACAGTGCTTAGCATATGTAAGTACATCCCTCAAAAGTCTATCTTTTTAAATTCATATAATCTTATATTTGTGCATATACATTAGATTAGTCAATACTGAAATCAAATCTATATACCAAAATAACTTACAATAACGGTCTGAAAACTATACACCCAAATTTGTGTTAGAAAAATATTAAATACAAATTTAAAAAAGGAAGAAAAAAAATGAAGAGAATTAAACATATTGAAAATTTTGTAGGTTGTAATTTTTTGCAATATTTTGGCTGAATGTAATTGTATTATCTTTCAATTTCTAAATATGTTTGGTGACTAAAATGTTATATTAATAAATATATCTGTTTAATAAATCTGTTTTGTTAAATTGCACCAAAATACATTGCCTATATTCACTGAGAAATGGAAAAAAATATTTATTTTCAACATGGAGTGTACTCAAATATGTTGAGCATTGTATGTGTTTAGTAAGTAAATCAGTATTTGAGATACTCCGATGTTTATTCACATTCATAACAAACAAACATTTATGTTTATTAAGATAATATTTTATTTATTTAAAATAATTTATATATAGCAAGTAAACATATTTGATAAACTTGTGAATAAATTAAAATATATTCAGCTCTATCAAATTTTTTATTTAAAAGAGAAGTTGCTTTAATTTATCATTTACTTATGAATGTATGATATATAATAAATAAAATTGGGAATGTACAGACATTTTGTCTACTTTTCTGCTATTATACACACACATATGTGTGTGTGTGTGTGTGTGTGTGCGCGTGTACACACACACACACACACACACACACACACACACACACACACACACACACACACACACACAAACACAAACACAAACACACACACACAGACACTTAAAGTCAGAATTATTTGCTCCCTGAATAATTAGCCGTCCTGTTTATTTTTCCCCCAATTTCTGTTTAACGGAGAGAAATTTTTCCAAAACATTTCTGAACATAATAGTTTAAATAACTCATTTCTAATCACTGATAAATTTATCTTTGCCATGATGACAGTAAATAATATTTGACTAGATATTTTTCAAAACACTTCTATACAGCTTAAAGTGACATTTAAAGGCTTAAATAGGTTAATTGGGTTAACTGGGCAGGTTAGGGTAATTAGGCAAGTTATTGTAAAATGATAGTTTGTTCTGTAGACTACTGAAAAAATATAGCTTAAATGGGCTCATAATTTTGTCCCTAAATGTTTTTTTTTTAAATTAAAAACTGCTTTTATTCTAGCTGAAATCAAACAAATAAGACTTTCTCCAGAAGAAAAGATATTATCAGACACACTGTGAAAATTGCCTTGCTCTGTTAAACATCATTCAGGTTTATTAAACAGATATATTTATTCAAATCATATTTTAGTCACCAAAAATATTTAGAAATTGAAAGAGAATACAATTGAATTCAAGCTAAACATTGCTAAAAATATTTAAATATTTGTATTTAATATTTTTCTATAATATATATAAATTTGGGAGTACTAGTTTTTTCACCGTTATCGTAGATTTTGTACGATAAGCACCAGATTTAACTTTAGTACTGACTAATCTAAAGTATATGCACAAATACAATTCTGTATAGCTTCCTATTAAAATATGAATTTAAAAGAGAGATTTGTGAGGAGTGTACTCATATATGCTGAGCACTGTATTAGTATACATATACATTATTACATAAATAGTGTATTGTATGCATTAGCTCCTTTTTTTGCTCTTAAATTGTATAATTTCAGCTCAAACATTTGCATTAAGACAGAAAGTG